ATCATTTGAATTCTGGGAAAACTATGTAAGAGTTTGGTTCTGGGAGCTTTCAGAGTTCCTGGCAGAGAAAAGTAATGAGGTATATAGACAGACAGCAAGGGTGGAGAGAAGCAAGGGTTAAAGATGAGCGCCTCCCAGCAGAGGCCTGCCTCCCTCCTCGGTGTTTCCTCCTGTCTGCCTCCTTCAGGCCTGTGCTCTGGGCCGCCTCCTGGCTGCACACAGCGCAGTCTGTCTTGGTCCTACTTGGTTCACCTGCTTTGCAACATGGCTTCCTTTCCTCTCAGACTGTCTGCTCTACAGGCCAGGGTCGGCTGAGCTCTCCATGTAGCCCAGGCTGACTTCAGACTCCCCTGCCCAAGTGCTGGGACTGCAGGTGTGCCCTGCACCCCAGATGGCTTCTCCCTTGCAGTCTTAGCAGCTTCTTGCGTAGAGATGAAAGTGCTGGAGGTTTCGTTTATTCATTTGTGGTTGTTTGGTCTTTCATAAAGAGTAATCTACTTCGTACTGATCTCATTTCACAAAGCGCGTGCCCGCCCCTCCTCTCTCTCTGTCTCTCTGTCTCTGTCCTGGACCTCGGGCAGACCCAGATGCTCTGCAGTCCTCCATGGCAACACCCTGCGTCCTCTCCTCATTCACATGGTCCCTTCCAGCCGGAGGGCTTCTCTTCCCCTGCCATCTCTTGAGCTTCCTTCTGGATTCCTGGAGTCCACACTGCCCCAGCATGTCCTTTGCAACCTGCAGCTGGCATGGTGGTTCCCAAGGTGCACAGAGCTGCTGAACACTTGTTTGTGTTTTGAGGGCTTAGGGACCCTGCAGGTTGAGGGTGGGTGAAGTGGGACTTTGCATCCACTAAGGTGGCTTCTCCTAGCCGGAGCTGGAGGGAGGTTTGCTTCCCACGGAGCTGGGACTCCAGTGCTTTCTCTGAATGAATACACAGAACCCTCCCTGGAAGTGTAGGTGCAGCGAGGGGCCACCTCCTCCGCTCACTTCTAGGGGGCCTGCTGTCTTTCAGGTGGCAGAACCCGAGGCCTGTGATCAGATGTACGAAAGCTTAGCACGACTACATTCAAACTACTATAAACACAAGGTGAGTGGGCGCAGGCTTTGGTCCCGGCCTCTGATGGGAGGGCCAGTCAGAACGGGTGGTTCAAGTGTAACCAGTACTTTCAGCTAAGCCAACAATGGTGCCTGGCAGAGGCCTTTAAAGGTCTGCTGAATAAAAGCCACGTGCTCCTGTCCGTATTTCCCACTCAGTGATGGAATTGATGTCACACGCTGATAAAGATGGAGTACTGGAACAGCCCTGTCACACCTAGCTCTGCTCCTCCTCAGCCTTGACATGATTACTGTCAAAATGCATGTAGTGTGGTTTTTCCAGACTCGAAAAATATGTTCAGTAGCTCCATAAATAGACATGACCAAATGGAAGAGCCTGTGTGCAAAAGGGATTCCTTCCAAATGCTATCTACTGAGTGTGGTCCTGAGCAGCTCTGTGGGTGTCACCTGGGAGCTAGTAGTTAGAAATTCTGAGTCCTGGGCCTGCCTCTCAGTTCTCCACAGTTCTGGCTTGTGTGTGTGTGAGTCCTGACCTCCAGGTGGCGCCGCTCCTCTCATCAGGTTCTGGCTCCGGGGCCCGGGGACCGGCTGGGGCCGGGGCTCAGGGCCCAGGTAAATTGCAGCAAGGCCAGTGTCCTGCAGAGCTAACATGTCCCTTCTCTCCTGCCCTGTGCCAGTACCCTCGCCCCAGAGACACCAGCTTCAGTGGTCTGTCCGTGGAAGAATACAAGCTGATCCTGTCCACAGGTAGGAGACGTGGCTGCCCTCCCTGGGTGGTTTGCTATGAGCTTGAAGGCTGAGAAGGATTGCCTAATAAGACAGTTTTGCATGATGAAAAGCCTTGAGGAATAGCTCAGAGGAAACCCTAAGCTACAGGGCTCATGTGTTTAAGCCACAGAATATGGAAAAGGTCAAAGGCATTACTTAGAAGAGAAAATCATCTTTATACTTTTAATTCAAGACTGGTGCCTGGGAACAAGGGACCACATATTTGCCAAATGGAAGTCATTGGAATCAGGATGGAAGGAAAATAATTTTATTTTTATGGTCCTAAGGGGGCTTTATAAACAATGAGGCTTTTAATTAAAACAAAAAGCCATTCAGTAAATGAGTATGGGGATATCCGCCTGTGAGTTATCTGTCCCAGGAGATGTGGTCTGCAGGTTCGATATGCGTCTAACGAGGTCTGTTTAGGACTCATGCTAGAACCCAGTTGGTAGGAAGGAAGCCCCTGCCAGTCAGCCCCTCCCTATTTCCCCATTTCCATTGTCGCTGAAAGGGTGGCGGGGTGGGGGCAGGGTCAGAGCAGGTAGGTACTGGAAAATTGCTATTTTTACTGCCAAGGATATTGTATATAAAAATAGGCTAACCTTTTCAGTGAGGGCATGGCCCTGAAAGGCTGGCTGTCTGGTACTCTAGAAATTTCTCCTTCCTTTTGGCAGTGGAGATTTGACCTTCTAGAATTCTCACCCTTCTGAGCAGATGGGAACCTGTGGCATCTGCTGTGTCTCAGGAGAGCAGGCTTTGCTGTGTGGCCAGGCCTCTCTTTACTCCCACATCCCTGGTGATGTCATCACCAGCAGTGATGGAGTGCCTTTGAGTGATCCTGACAATGAGCTTAGCATGGACTCGGGTTCCCACTGGCCTGTGCTTGTCCCTTCTGCTAGACTTCAGGAAGCCTCTGGGTGGGTGGCGGGCAGCATGGTAACTTGTGGTCTGGATTCTAGTCCGCCCAGGAAACTCCAGCAATGTGTGCACAGCAGGCCTCATGTTTCTGTTGTAACTGTGTGGAGCCAGGACCACCTGAACAAGGATCCACAAAAACAGAGGACCAGCCAGGCCTGCAGTGTGGCCACCTTAGTGTGTCAGAGGGCAGGGATCCCGGTGTCACACTTTGGGTCTTGTTTGGGGATCTGGACTTTCTGAAAGTCGCAGGGTGGGAGGCTGTGCTGGTGGCTGCCACACAGCGCCCCAAGCGAATGTGGAGCCACTACCCGTAAACAGTCCTTCAAGCCAGCGCTTTTGTTAAAATCAAGTCCCTGAAAGCTAAGCAGTACCATGATAGGATCTAAGTTTAATATCTATGAACTATAAAATGATTATGTCACAGGCTCTTAGCTGAGGGGAGTTCTTGTTTTGTTTTTGTTTTTCTGAGACAGGGTTTCTCTGTAGCTTTGGTGCCTGTCCTGGATCTCACTCTATAGACCAGGCTGGCCTCAAACTCACAGAGATCCGCCAGGCTCTGCCTCCCGAGTGCTGGGATTAAAGGCGTGTGCCACCACCGCCACCTGACCTGAGGAGAGTTCTTGGACTACTGTAGCTGTCTGCCCCATAGATATGAGCCATGTCCAGAGACACTTATGGTTGTGGGTGGGGCCATGCTGGCCTTGGTGGATAGGAGGCCAGAATGCTGTTGGGTGTCCTGTGCACAGGACACCCTGAGAAAAACCACCAAACCCAAACTGTCAGCTTAGGGAAGAACTGCTTGGATCATGATGTGTGTGTGTTGGGGTGGGTTTAAGACAGGATTTCTCTGTGTACCTCTGGCTGTCCTGGAACTCATTATGTAGACCAGGCTAGCTTCAAACTCCCAGAGATCTGCCTCATGAGTGGTGGGAGTACAACTGCCTGGCTCATGTGTGTGGTTCTTAAACATGGCTCTCTGCATGTGCACATTCACACACACCACCACCACCACCACCACTGTGAAGGGCTGACATTACCAACCTGATTGCCACAAACCCAGCTTGGGAGGTTTGTGGTCTTGTCCTAGTTTTAGAGTTGAACTCAAGATTGCAAGGTTTCAGGGAGGCGTCCATCCTCTCCCCTCCAGCTTGCAGAGACCCATACTGCTGAGCCTGGCAGCGCCTCATCTTGATGCTTCCGGAGCCAAGGGCTTGTCTCCCTCTACCTTGGTACCTATAGCTAAGGTAGACATTAGAGTGGCCCGGCTTGAAGAAAATTGGGGCCGTTTCTTTGCAAGTTCCTGTGGATTGGGCAGGAAGTGTACATCTGTGGTGCTGACGGGGTGGTCAGTAACCCTTATGCGTGTGTCCTATTACTGCCTGTCATGTTTCGGTATAACCACTGAACTGCCTTTCACCGTACAGACCGGGCACTAGAAAGCCAAGTGGGCTCTTCTGGGGACAGCTTGAGACATCAGCGTTCTGTCTCTCCCTGTGCAGACACCCTGGAAGAATTTCAGGAGATGGATAAGAGCGTGTGGAAGAAACTCCAGGAGAAGTTTGCACCCACGAGGCCAGAGGAGAAGCACAAAGCCTGGGCTCGGGTCTTGTCCCGCCCACGTACCTGAGCCTCGTCAATAAAGCTGTCCAGTTCTCCACTCTCCCTGTTTGGAACTGACTCACCGGCCCATCATGCGGGAGGCCCTGTCTGCCTGAACAGGGATGCTGCATAGCATATGCCAGGGCATCTCCCGAGCAGAGGGAACATAGGACCCTTCCAGCCTGAGGTCCACAACCCAGTGAGGGTCCTCAGGCTCCCTGTTGTGTAGGAGCAGCTGGGGAGACACCAGGATATGCAGTTAAGTGTGTAGCAGACATCCTGTCTGGCCCTCTACCACAGACTCAGCACAGCTCAAGTCTCTCACTCCAGCCCTGCAGAAGTACACATGCCTAGGTGGCTTGAGGGACAGCAGAGCTGTAGCCAAGCTTGAACTGAGTGTGGCATCGGCACCGGGCAGGTTCTGTGGAGGGCTACAAGACACACAGGCCACCTTACTGCACCTGCTTAAACCTCACGCTCCTATTAGGTCTCAATCCTACCCAGATGTCCTGCAGCTGCCAAGTGGATCAAGGCCGGGCCTGCAGCCCAGTGGAGCTAGTCAAGTAACCAGAGCTCTGGTAGGCACTGCCTGAGGGGAGGCCAGGCCGCCAGGGCACACTGGCCACCAGCTGTGTGGGAAGCAGAAGCACAGCCCCTGGTGGCCTTGGATTCCATTAATTTATTTAAGGCAGTTAACACATTAGTTCTCAGGACATAGGACTTGTAAAACATGACACCAGAGAGAAAAGCAGTCAGACACCATTTCATACAGCTCAGTCCTGTCCCTTGGGCTAGTGACGCTTGCCTACAAAGCCATTCATCCTGAGTCATCAGGCACCTTGGACGGGGCCAAGAGTTCAGCACACTGTCCCCAGCAGGCACAACAGGGTGGGATAACCCCGGGGAATAAGTTAAGTATCAAGCCCTAACTAAGTAGCTAATAACAGCAGGCTACCACCTTCCTGAGGCAGGAGGAAGGCCGGGAACAGCCACAATGTAGTGCTTGGAGATGAGAGGCAGCCCACTTCTAACCCCTGCAAGGACCACTGAGCAATGTCAGTTAACTGCTTCAAGGCACAGCAGTCTGGAGGACCTAGTGTCCTCTAAGGCACTAAGGTAAACTGAGTCTCTTCAAGGGCTCTAAGCAGGACTGTGCTCTGAAGTACCCCTGCTGGCCAGAGCCTGGCTTGCGGGAGGGTTGCCAGCAGAGCAGGTGGTGGAGTAGGCACCTGGCCTCCAGAGGCTGATGGGCCGATGGCCATCTGACCTGGAGGAAAGGCAGCAATGTTTTCCGTGGACCTCCTGTGGGGGCTTCCGTGGCTCTGCTCAGCGGCTCATGCAGTTCTGCACATCCACAAAGCCCAGACGCTGCCTCCGTTTCCGCTGCTCTGTCATCTGAGTTAAACAAGTCTCGTCAGGTGGCCCAGCTCCCTTCTCCACAGCACCGTGAAAGGCTGCATGCATCCTCCCCCAAGAGCCCAGCTGCCCTCCAGCACTGGTGACAGCCACCCCCGACCCCCAGGGTGTCCTCAGTCTGCCAAACCCTTAATTGGGTGCAACTGGGAGATAAGGGTTATGGAGCTATATTGGGTAGAGCTGCTGCCACATGCAAAGGAAGACAATTTCCTACAGCCACACTGAACCCTTGGAGGCCTGCCTGGCTGCTACAGAAGACAGGCCTCAGGTGGAGAACACACCTGCTCCTTGAGTTCATTGAGCTGGGCAGTGAGGTGGGACACCAGCTTCATGGTGGAGCCAAGTTTCTCCTGCAGGATTCGGATCTCATTCTGTTCACCCTCGCCCTCACCGCTCACCAGGGACATGGCGCGCATCCGTGGGAACCAGTCCAGGTTCTTGTTCTGGAACAAAGTGCTGGGGTGAGGACCAGGGAGGCATTGCTCAGGGACAGCCACACCCTAAACCAGATGGCTAGCAGGGAGTGTGTCATGGGGAAATGGGAACAGGCCTGGTCTTCCCAGGCAGGCAGGAGGAAGCCGGAGGTGGGCTTCCACCGCCACAGCAGGCTGCCCTTCGTGAGGTGGCCCTGCCCACTAGTAAGCCGTTGGCTGGCATCTCTGCCATCTGCTCACTCCCTGCCCTCGTACCCTCCTTTCTGCTGCCACAGAGGTGCATGCCCCATTCCCAAGGAAGATGAGAGGTACATGGATGGCCAGCAGAGCCAGGCCTTGCTAGGAAGGGCTAGCGCACGTTTCCCAGGATAGATGCGGCAGCAGGAGGGAGAGGCACCAGCAAAGCAGTTTTCTGGTTCCCTGTCACAAGCTGTGAATTCTCAGACCAACAGATAAACCCCTCGAGACAAAGCTCTTCACTGCCGCCATGACTATGGAAATCGGAAGGATTATATTTAATTCCTCTAAGCTTTTCTAGGCTTTCTCTCAGGTTGGGACAATGCTGACTTTAGGAAGTCATCCTCCCTTGCTGTGCCTTCTCAGAGGCCCTGTGGGATCAGCCTCCCTCAGTGGGCTCTCCCCACTCCATACTGCCCCCCACTGCTGTACGCTAGGGCCCTGGTACACCATGTTCCTCCAGGGCTGACGGGTTCCCTGCGAGTTCATTTTCTTCTCACATCAGTAGAGTGAATCCAGGGTGGCTGGCAGGGTTTTGCATAGCCCAGGGCTGGCCGCAGCTGCTCCTCACTCCCTGGCTGGCCCAACACCGTCGGCAGCTGTTAACCTTCAGGCCAAGGCCAGCAGATGTAGCGTCTCCTCCAGGTTGTGGACCAGCAGAGCCAGGCCTGCAGTGGTGTACACACTCACCTTGATCATCTGAGCCACGTAGCTCTCGGGGCCTGTGTAGTCCGTCTTGTTCTTGACACGGACCAGCACGATGAAGTACAGGTAATTCCACATGTTGTGCTCCAGCTTGATGTGCTCCTCGAAGGAGACTGTCTTGTTGTCAAACTTGTCCCTCTCCAGACCTGCGGGCAGAGGGAGGAAGTGAAACCATTACCCACTTGAGGACCACCATGGTGACTGCTTTAGACAGTTCACCCTGGGCTATTTGGGTCACTCTCTTAACGCTCAGTTGACCCTGGGCTATTTGGGTCACTCTGTTAAAGCTCCCACTGCTCAGCCATGGAGACACTACTGCAGAGCAGCTGCCTGAGCCCAGTGGGGACAGGACAAACTGGGTCAACAGTCTGTCCTACAGGTGACCCCTGCTCTTTGGGCCCTGGTCACTGGGTTTGGAAGGAACAGTGGATGGAAACCAGAAGCCTGAGACCACAGTGCCCTTAGGTTCCTCTTCTGGAGGCCCAGGCTTGAAGCAGTGGTTTCCCAAGTCCTGCCAATCCCAGCACAAGCTAGGTCAGCTCCCTCCATCCTGGAATGGACAGGCAGCCATCCACCTTGTGTGGGGGCCTCAGCAGGGGTGGAACTGGGGTGTAGAACTGGGGTGGAACTTCTACGGTGTAGAAGCCTCCAGCGGCACAGCAGGGACCAGCTAAGCGCGGAAGTGGGCCTCACCACAGATGAAGCATGTGGTCTTGAGGATCTCCTCTTTCTTCTGCTTCTCACTGCGCAGGTCGGCGAAGGTGTCGATGATCACCCCAAAGATGAGGTTCAACACGATGATTATGACGATGAAGTAGAACAGGAGGTCGTATACCACCCGGGCAGGGAAGAGGGACTCCTGCACAGCGGGGTAGGGGTAGGGGGGTGGGGGGGGTACTGTGAGGACACAGTTCAGCAGGCCGTTTGGCTGTGCTCACTCCAAGCCCCAAGAGAGAGATGTGGGAGCCTAAGGATGGCAGTGACATCATCTGTCAACTCAAAGAAGCCCTGAGCTGACGTTTGGAAAGGGCTGGCCAGGAGGAAGCCCTTACAAGTTTGTCCTGTTACAAAACAGGGCTTGTTTCTGCCTTTAACTTAGTTAAAGGGAAGGGCAGATGTGAGCTCCTAGGTCAACTTTCAGGATGTCTCACACATTCCAGAACCCTTGTCTAGCCAGAGATGACTTCTCCCAAGCAACTGGGAATTGATGGCTTAGACAGCCAGCAGCCCTGTGTTAAGTTCTGAGACTCCTCACAGAGCTGACTCAGTGTCCTGCTCCACCCCGCCCCCCCCATCCCCGCCCCCGGGGCTGAGGAAGCCAGAGACTGATGCCTGGCTCACACCTTCCCAAGCCTCAGAGCCAAGACTGTTGCCATGGAGTCCCTTGTAGCATCTACAGTGAGACTAAGTGGGCTGGGGTGGATAGCTCTGGACAATGTCAGAGAAACTGGCTGGGTATAGGAAGCAGGGAGCATTCACAGAAGTGGGTGGGATGGTCAGCATGGAGGGGACCCAGCTGCTGCCTGGCTGAGGCCCAAGGGCAGGGCAGGGATACTCACATCTTTGGAGGGCTTGCGGAGGATGTCACCCACACCACCACCATTGCGCAGTCCATGGTTCATGACGGTGACGATGCACATAAGTAGAGTGTCACAGGCCCGCTCAGTGCTGTCCAGCTCCTCGTCCTCTGTGGGTGGTCAGTACGCTCAGACCCGGGCTGCCCATTCTGTCCTGTCCCACCCCATCCTGCAGGTGTCTCAGCCTTACCTTCTAGGATCTCAGGCACCGATACCTCCGAGACACAGTCTAGCTTGTCCCCACTACATGTGCCCATAAATGTGGCAGCTCCATGTGACATTCCCAGGGTGCTGGCTAGAGGTGATAGGAATAAGGTCACAAGGAGATAGAAATGTCTGTCTGACCTTAGCATTGCTCTAGTCTGTCCTGAGACATGTCCCTGGGAGGCCTCCCCTCCTGCTGGCTCACACTACAGCTAGGGAGGGTCTCTGTGACTCTGGGCCTGGCCCAAGGCAGCCCCTGCAGACACCAGGTTCTCCATGACAGACAGGTCTGCCAGGGCTTCCATGGCTCTGCCTACCCACTAGACTGCAGTGAACTAGAACGTACAGGTTGGTGTACACTAGATGTCCCCAAAACCCAACAGGAGGAGGCAGGGAGCCTAGAACAGGCATGCCCTGTCTGGTGCTGACAGTTACCTCTGCGTGCCCATTGTCACCCCCACACACCCACCCCAGAAAGGAAGTTCCCAAGACCTCTGGAGTGGTTCCCAGGCAGCCGGTCCACCTCCAGGATGAAATCATCCTTGAGGAAGAGGAACCCCACGATGGAGAAGAGGTAGACTAGTATGAGGGCCAGGAGGGCAGTCAGCAGGATGGAGCGGCCATTGCGAGTCACACTCTTGATGACATTAAACAGCGTCTCCTCACGGTAGATGAGGTCGAAGAGCTGCAGGGACAGCACCTCAGTAAGTCAGGCCCTGCCCGTGGGGTCAGTGCCCAATCCGGAGTGAAGTAAACTGGGAGGTTTCTAGGAGAATCTGTGCTTCTAAGACCAGGGGCAGATGTGAGAGGTGTCATGTTGAGTGGACACCAGCCACTCCGGAAGGTTGGCAACTCTTACGCTACACTCCCAGGGACGCATTCTAAGCATTTCTCACACAGTTGTACATTTCACCCTCTGATTCTAGGAGGCAAAGTTGTCATGAGACGACACAGGGCAGATAAGAAACCTGCTTAGAGTTATACACTGTGTTCAGGTCAGAGGTTGGAGGACAAATGCCTGGCCTGGCCAAGTCCGGATTGATCCCTCCTCTGAATGGGATAGGTGGAGGCTTATGAGAAACTAGGGTTGGAAGCCCGTGGCCCCAGCCCAACTGCAGGCTCACCAGGATGCTGTAGAAGAGCTCATGAGCAAAGAGGCCCAGAACGCTTGTCAGGATGTAGCCCACGTGGTACAAGAACTCCATGTCCATGACCATGGCCTTATAGCCACGGATGAAGGTACCACGGTTGCCCACGAAGCTCACCACAAACACGATCTTGTTGGTCAGCTAGATAGAAAGGGCAGGATGTGGCAGTCAGCAACCCATCATCTATCCTAACCCTCAGCCCTGCCACCAAGCCTAGCCTAGAGGCTAGTCCCGTGGAATGAGTTGTGAGAGGTGCAGTATCAAAGAAGTGAAGCCCTGGGGAAACTGAGGCTCAGGTGAAGCAGGCTGGAACGTAGAAGACCCCAGTCTTACAGTGCTGGGTTAGGAAAAGTCGTAAGTTTGACATCCACCTGTGCATGGCCCGTGGGCAGTGCATGGCCAGCACCCTGCATTTGACGCCCAAGGCTCCTGATCTCAAGTGGCTAATCCCTGGCTGCCTGAGTTGTGGGAGAAGCACAGAACAGGCCTACAAGGAGCTCCGTAAGAACGGCAGGGATCAGCAGGTGAGCGGGGTGGCCGAGGACCCCGCAGCACTCACATTGAGGGCACCCAGGATGTTGAGTGTGGGCCCAATGCCCAAGTAGTAGATGGACCGTAGGATGAGCGCCACAATGAGGGGGCGGACACTGTAGCGCTTGGTGAACAGCGCCGCAATGGAGAAGCAGATGAGGATCCAGAAGAGCAGCGAGATGAGTGGGGAGCCCAGCACACCTGCGGGCAGTGGGCAGGCATGAGCAGGGTGCTTAAGCCCTGACGGCCCCAGTGTGAATCCCAGAGCCCCCAGAACCTCCCCTAAGGACCCAGTGTACCTGCTGCACCCCACCAGCTGCTGCAGACCTCTCAAGTCTCTGGCTTACATCTGTATGTGTGTACACATACATGCCCACAGGCCGTCTCCCAGGAGGCCAACCTGTCTGTCCCTTGAGCCACACTTGCCCCTCATAACAGGCAGAGGGCCCACGGGGCAATGCAGGGGTGTGTCTCCCCGCTGTGCAAGGGAGGGGTGGGCAGCCTCACCTGTGGACGCACCCTCTACGTAGGGGTAGAAGAAAGCGATGATGATGTTGATGAATACAGCCAGGTTGAAGGAGATGCTGCCCCACAGTGTCATGCGGCGGGAGAACCAGTAGATGAGCGGCATGCCTGAGGAGACAGTGTGGCGTGAGGGTCCAAACACCCCCTCTGTCTGGGGCCCCAGGGAGGGGAGGGGGCCCCGGGAGGGGCGAGCCGCGGTCCTCACTGCGAAGCCGGCGCTGCCACTCCATCTCGTTGTGCAGGAAGGAGGACTGGTCGAAGAAGTCGCTCACTTTGCTGCCCTGCTCATCCTGCTCGGTGGTGGTGAAGAGCCGGTGCTTGGTCTCCTCTGTCAGGAACTGGCAGATGGCCGGCACGGGGAACACGATCTGCTCCATGCTTCGGTCTTGCCGCACAATCTGATTGGTCAGGTGACACCTGGTCACCCTGGGCAGAGGCCCTCACTGCCCCCGGCTCACACCCGGTGTCCTCTGCCTCACCTCAATCTGCGAGGTGTGGTTCTCGTAGTAGGCCAGAGGGTCCTCCTCCTCCTCCTGGGCTGGCGCCGAGGACTTGAGCATCTGGGACAGCTGCTTGTTGTTGAGACTGAGCTGGGGGCAGAGGTGTGGGCATTGGGTCAGCCCTGCAGGCATCCAGAGTGCTGCTCCTGGGGGTGACCCTTCAGCCAGCCCAGACCAAGCCCACTCAACCAGAAAGGGGAGTTGGTGCCCTCTTCAGCCCTGCCCCGGGGTCCTGCTACAATATTCCAGACCTGTCCCAGATGCAAGGTCTTGCTCTCATTTCTGTATCAAGGTTACAGCACTGTACCCCAGTCCAGCTGCAAGCCCCACCCACAGATTCTAGCCTGGCTCTCAGATCCAAGCTCACTTGGTTCTAGGCTGGCTTTGGATGACCACAGCTTTCTGCCTCTAGCCTGCCCCTTGCTTCTCTCGCATTCCCACAGAAGTCTCATTCCTGCCCTCACATCACAGCTCTGTTCCTTCACAGCCACCAGTCCATCCAGCTCCACCAAGTCAGGTTCCTGGGTTCAAGCCCCACCCCACCCCCAAACTCTCACCCCTGCCATACCATGGAAGAGATGCCCTCAGCCTCCTCCTCCTGGATGCGCCTCACCGGCTTCAGCAGGTGCTGCAGCTGTTTGTTGTGCCTGGAAAGCTGCAGAAGACGGGACAAGACAGCTGTGAGCATTGTTCGGAGGGCATGGCCGCAGAGGGCCAGGGCCACGGGCAGCACTTGGTACCTGAAGCGCCAGGATGTAGATGTTGTGGCCCACTTCACGTGGGCTCACTTCCGAGTTCTCCCTCTCCTCCTCCTGCAGGTAGGCCTTTTTGATCACGTCCACCTGGGGGGTGGGGCGGGGAACAACAGCACTTGCTGTTATGCCCACTCCTGGGGCACGGACCCCCATCCCTGTACCCCCCACACAATCCTCTCCTGCTGCCAGCCTGCGCTCACCAGCTCCTGAGGCCGCAGGCTGATGAGGATGCGTTCCGCATTCTCACTATCATGCCGACTCTCCATCAGAGCCAGGAGAAGTTTGGAGGCATTGTCCTGGGTGGAGGGGTACAGGAAGCAAGCTGAATCTAAGAGCCCCCATTACGGCCTTTTAATCTCTTCCTTACTTTCTTCTCAGATGTTGGTACGCTGAGAAGTGTCCAGTGTATTAATCCCCTGTAGGCCGGCCTTACCCACCCTGAGCAAATATGTTCAAGCCCCCCACACACCCCCAAACAAACACACAGGAAGTCCTCAGGGGAACCCAAGGTGAGTGTGATGTCTGTTCACACGTGTATTCCTATGTAGCCAGTGCAACCTGCACATGCATGGAAGGGGCCCCCACATACAGCACAATATAGTGCCACACCTGTTAAGTACCCTTGTCACTCACACGTGAACACACGTTTCACAGGCACAGCCGGCATGCTCACCACTGGGCCCCACCTTGAGCTGCAGCACCAGATCCATGCGGTACTTGCAGAGTGGGCTGATGTCATTGAGAATCAGCGCAGTGATGATGTCGATGCCATTGGATTCATGAGTCACGATGCAGGTCTGACAGGAGGCAGTGGGAGATGCAAGCGCCAGACGCATCAGAGTCGGGGTGGCCCTGCAGCCCCACTCACACCCACTCGGCTCCTTCACAAGCACCACTGCCACTGCGAGGCTGCTCACCTGGTTCTCATGACATGGGCCCTGGCAGTACTCTGTGAGGGTCTCCAAGGTCTGGATGACCAGGCCCACGTTGTCCTCATTGATATAGAGCCCCAGCAGCCCCAGCCCCCCCGTGGTGCTGCCACACATGATGTCCAGGAACTGCAGGGTCTCACACACCAGATTGTAGTTGGTCTTGTTGTTCTGACAGCGCAGGAAGTTCTGTGGAGCACAGGCAGGGTGGGAGTGGCACAGCACCATCATCCCCACCAAGAGGACATCAGTTCCGGTGGCCATGCCGGGGATGCTGGCTGATTGGAAGTGGGGGACAGGCAGGCATGGGCAAGGCACTCACCTGCAGGTCACGGTTGTGGTTCTCACACAGCAGCTGCAGGAAGCGCAGGATGGGCCGCATGATGAGCACAGAGGTGCCCATCTCGTTGCTGTGCACGCGCTCGCCCACCTCGTGCCCCCGGTGCAAGCTAGGGCCCAGTGAGTAGCGGGAGGAGCTGGGCATGGAGAAGGAAGCCACACGGCCTGTGGGGCAAGACTTGATAAGGCAGGGGCTACTGGAAGCCTCTCCCCATCTGTGAGACCCCCGTGCCCTGCAAGTCTTATCCTGCCCCACACCCCATGTCTGCCTGGAGCCCAACCTTTGGTGGTAGGGTCTGCTGGCTCACGGTCCTCACGAGGCTGGCTGCCCAGGTCACTCATGTTGACGGCAACTGTGGACTTGGTCTCCTGCTGGGCTCGCTTCATACGGTCATGCAGCACCCTGAAGAAGCGCTCTGACTTCTTGTCGCTAGTCATCAAGTTGTAGAAAGATTTCTGGAGATGGATGGGAGATGGCGAGCAGCCTCAGCACTGTGCCTAGCTCTGGGTGGCCATGGTAGCCCTCAAAAACCCTAACCTGAAATTGGGTGTGGTAGGTGGGTATCATCCTAGCCCTGGGAGGTGGCAGCAGGAGGATCAGGAATTCAAGGTCATCCTTAGCTACTTAGAGAGTTTGACTGCACCACTCAATGCAAAGGAAGTCTGAGAGACACATGTACCCTGAGATGGAGGCTAGGGATGGGCTTGGGACCTCAGCAGTTAATGGGGAAGGCCAACCTGCCATGACCACAATGCCGGGGGTGTGGGGGGTGATTGTGGCCTGCCTTCTGCCCAGGCCCCGCTGGCCACTGGCTCCAATAGCTACTCGGCACTGCAGCCAGAGGGATCCCTTGGAGGCCTAAGTCCTGGCCTTCTAGTTCATGCAGCCTTCAGGGGCTCCATTTCCTCGGAGGAAAAGCCCCCGCCACTCAGGGACACGAGAGCATGTGAGAGTCTCTTCCTAAGACCCCAGGCCTTCCCTCCTCCAGCCCCTTCAGGGCTGTTCTGCACACTCTTCCTGCACAGCTCCAGCATTACCTCAGGTCTCTAGTTCTGTCCCCCAGACTTGCCCGTCACTTTGTTTTCCCTATCTGTGCTAGGGTGAAACCGAGGGCCTTGTGAATGCTGGGCCAGGACCACCGCGCTGGATCACCAGCTCCACGGGGTGTGTTGTTTTGTTTTTTAATTTTTTATTTCTTTTTAGATAAGAGTCTCTCTACATAGCCCTGGCTGTTTGGAGCTCACCATACAGACCATGCTGGCCTCCAGGGGGCTAGGATTAAAGGGGTACGCCACCACCTGTTTGTTACTAAAGATGAGGTTCAGTGACAGTACTCAGGCTGGCCTTGAAGTTGCTCTGGAGTCCAGGCAAGCCTTGAACCTGGGACCCCCCTGACTCGGCATCCTCAGTAGCAGAGATGGCAAGCCCAAGCCACTAGGCCCAGTCTGTGACTGTTTAACACAACCCTGCGCCCTGCATTCCATATCTCCTGGCTTGGATGCTGCTTTCCACAGTGTCTACACTCTGCCTATGTCCTTTCCAAAACACAGACATCAAGAGAACAGATTTTGTCTCCTTTTCAGAGCGGATGCTTGGTGCTTACATCATTGTCAGTGACGGTTTGATGTTCAGTGCTGAACAGGAAATGTGAAGAAAGGATGAGTCAGTGAAGAGTGAATGAATGAATGGGGTTAGAGGAGTCAGGGCTTTGGAATAGCCAGGCCAGGGCTCCAAAGCTGAGGCGGATGGAGAAGAGGAAGCAGGACTGGCCTGAGCAGACACGGAAATGCCAGAATGTTGGGCCTAGTGGGACAGGACAGAGTCGGCACAGGCCGGCCTGGGCGAGGGGAACAGGTGCAGACTCAGAAGGTGGACTCCAGCACCAGTTGCCCCCAGCACCCAGGCCTCCAGCCTCAGCATCACCAGAGGTGAAGGCACTCTGCTCCAACCCCCACACCTGGATCTCAGTGTTGCCTCCATCCAGCAGGCGGATGGCCAGGCCAATGCTCTCCTGGAATATCTTCTCATTCTTGGTGCTGGTGATGAGGTCGCAGACCAATTTGGTGGCCCCTTCCTTGTCCAGCCGGCACTGAGTGGCTGCGATGGCTGACCAGTCCTGGTCCAGGCCTTGGGGAGAAGCCCGTATGAGAGACAATGGTTGGAAGCAGGAGCCAGCCACGAGGGGTGGGGCAGGGATGGCCCATGGCACTGACCAGAGCCTGTGGGGTCGGGGAGCTCGCCCCGGGAGCTGGATTTCCGGTTCTGGAGGTAATTCTGCAACAGCATCTTCCGCAACTGGTTGCCCTGGAAGGACAAATGCGGCCTTTGGTGACCAGTGTCCTGCATCCTGAGCCCTGCTCCTGCCCGGTGGTGTCGGCACTCACCCGGTCTCCATACTTGCTCTTCTTCAGCAGCATCTGCTGCAGTGTCCGGAGCACCTTCACACACAGCTTCTCCTCTGACTCCATGAGGCCCTTGGTGTGACGGATGAGCCTAGGGCAGAGGCAGAGGCTTAAGGGGCCACCTGCCTCAATGGAGCCCCAGACCCAGGTCACCACACCCTCCTCCCCTGCTCACTTGGACAGGAAGCCCCCACTCTCGCAGCGCTGGTAGGCTTCACTGCCCTCCAGGAAGAGCAGCTCGGGCCAGTGCAGCATGTCCACCAGCACCGAGAGCTCGGCCTGTACCAGAGGTTTCAGCCGCTCTTCTAGGGCCATGATGATGTCCTGGGAGGGAGGGCAGGGTCACCACCTGGCTCAAGATGACCAGGGTGTGGCCATATGCCATCCCCCAAAGACTATACACCGCCTGAGGGGCAGCAACCCCCTCCTCCCCAGGGCAGGTCCTTCCTAGGGGCCAGGCAACCACGCCCACCTGCAGCTTCTCAATGATGTTCTTGTAGTCCCACTGGTTGGCAGTGGGGATGACGCGAGGGAAGGTCCTTGTGGCCGTCTTGTAGTTGGCAGCACTGCGTTGGGCTGCAGCTGCACAGCTGCCCCCACTGCTGAGCAGGGCACTCATGTGGGCATCCAGATCCATGGGCAACAAGATGGCCCGGCTCTTGGCTGCAAGACAGGGCAGCGCCAGAGGACAGGGTGGTATGGGTGGCTGGGCCAGGCTCAGGCTGCCACATAGGGGCAGGGAAGAGTATGGCCTGTGCCCCTATTGGGCGTTCCGCCTGATTCCCCCAGCACACAGGGAACCCAGCACCACCTCCTGCCAGGGTCACTTGCAAGCACACAATTGGCAAGAGGCAATGAGAGTAACCCTGGCTGGATGTGACCACCCTGGGTGACATTCGCGCTCAGGGATAAGGTGGTCGCTATGGGGCTGGTGTCCCCAGCAAGGTGCACTGGGAAAGGTCCAGCGTGGGTACTCACCCACCATGGCGAGGGTGCGGACACAGGCCTCCACGGAGCCCTTATGCTGCTGCTGCAGCCAAGGACACTCGAGCAGCCGAGTGGTGGACTGCAGCAGCTGTACCACAATTGTCTGGTGTGTCTGCAGGGGACAGAACCCGGAGGCAGCTCAGCCAGCCCAGCGGGGCACAGGCCCAGGACCCTCACTGCCACAGTATGTCTTTGGTCTAGGCAGAAGGTCACCAGTTCCTATGGCACCGAACAACCTCGCCTGGCTGTACAGGGCCGCCATGTAAGAACTCCCCACAGCTCAAGGCTGGGCTCACAGCCATATTAACCACCTTTCCTTCCTTTGAAATGAATGTGAGGAAAGGTGCTGTGTTTACATGGTTCAAAACCCAAAGTCTGGCTCAGTGGCTAAGAGCACTTGGTGCTCTTTCTGAGGGCCCGAGTTCAATCCCTAGCACCCATGTCTGACTGCTCTCAACCGCTTTAACTCCAGCCCAAGGAGAACGACCCAATACCCTCTTCTTGCCTCCTCAGGCACCCAGATACCTGCACAGACACACACACACTTAAAAAAAGAAAAGATTGAAAATAGTAGTGCACACCTTTAGTCCCTGCTCTCAGGAGGCAGAGGCAAGCAGATCTCTGTGAGTTGACCCAGTCCCAAAAAACAAAGTACAATTTAAAACTGAACAAAAAATAATGAAAGAATAGATACACTTTGGGCCAGTGAGATAGCTTAACAGGTAAAGGTGTGTGTCTTGCAAGCCTGGTGACCTCAATCTGATTTCTAGAATGCAGGTAAGGGTAGAAAAAGGGACCCGACTCCAGAGCATTGTGTCCCGACCTCCGTATGCTCACACTTATTCAGCACACACACACATACACACACTATGTGCACACATACAATAATACATTCTGAAGGCCTTTTTTAAATTCTACTTTATCCCATCCTACAGCCAGTCTGAGGCTGAGGGGAACACATGAACACATTTTTTTTTTTTTTTTTTTTTTTGAGACAGGCTGGTCTTGAACTCAGAGACCCACCTGCCTCTGCCTCCTCAGTGCTGGGATTAAAGGCGTGCACCACCACCACATCCAGCCATAGTTAAAAAATTTCAGTCTCCTTGTCTCAAATGTGTATCAAAGCAACTCACCCTTCCTGGATCTAACCTTTTTTTTCCTTCGTGTTTTTGAGATGGGGCCTCACTATCATACTATGTAGAGCTGGCTTTGAATTCACGGAGATCCGCCCGCTTCTGCCTCCTAAGTTCTGGGACTAAAGGCGTGCGCCACCCTGCCTGGTGTACCTAACCTATTTACTCTTCTCAGAGCTAGCCTGGTGCCAGTGCTGGCCTTGAACCCATGAGTGCCACTTCCACTGGCTTCTCCAGTCTCTGTGTTTATAATTTAGACAGTGCCTCGGAGCCTTCCTCAAGGAGACCTGGGACTCTGATTAAGGCTGAAAAGCATCTCAGCCATGTCTCTCTCAGTGACTCAGGTCAGCCCCTGCACAGGGATGCCAGTGAGTCTCCAGGCTGCCTGCCTGCCCAGCACCCATGGGCAGTGCAAGGTCTCTGTAAGCTGTCCCGCCAGCCATCATGGCTCTACTGTCCTGGGCATCAGCCACACACAGCCCACCACCCCAGGTCCTGCTAGACTGACTGAGGGATTCCTGTGTTAATCTTGTCAATCCCATGGGACCTCCTAAGTCAGTGTGAAGTGTGTCCATGGGGTTTCCAGAAAACTGGAAGACCTATCCTAAACATACGCTGCACCCACCCATGGGTCGGAACCCCAGCATGAATAAAAAAGAAAAAAAGTGAACTGAGTGCCAGCATTCATTGCTCTTTGTGGATGAAGCGTGACCAGCCATCCATGTTCCTGCTGCCAGGATGGACTGTACCCCTCAAACAGCACACCCCACCAATTCCTTAAATTGTTCCTTGTCCGTTACTTTGTATCATTCCCACTGTAGTGCCTGACCCACACCCCGGGCCGTTTGTTACACTGTAATGACTAATACACTATTTCGCTGCATCTTCATGTGCTCATGTAAGCAAGGCCGTGCTGGGCGGGAGAGCCAGCTAGAGTGGCCATGCTTGACCGTGTGGGCTGCTCACCTGCAGCGACGTGCTGTTCTCTGAAAACGGGGAGCTGAAGAAGGCACTGATGGTGTCCAGCACCACAGTGAGCACGTACTTCTCTAGGGTGGGGTCTGCCAGGCGTTTCTCCCGTTTGTTGCAGACCTATAGGGGAGAATCATATGGGGAGATCTGCGGGTCACCCCTTCACCCAGAAGCCCAGCCCTGGCCCCCGGGACAGACCAGAGCCATGTCCAGGGTGAAGTTCTCGAAGAGCGTCCAGATGTGGTTGCTGGTGTAGATCTCCTTCATCTCCACCTCTGTGTCCACATAGCAGTGGTTCACGAAGTTCACGTACGCCATTTTAACCTGGGCGGCGGGCGGGCGAGGTGTGTCACCAGTGCCTGCTCAGGCTCTCCCCTCTTAACCCATCATCTGACCCCCAGTGTGGCTACACCGCAGCCTTTTCCCTGCTCTGTGCCCCCTCACAGCCCAAGGGTGCACACCTCCGTGATGCAGTCCTCGTGGGTCACCACAGACACCACGTCCTCCAGAGGCAGCAGGGAGGTGCACTTGATCTCTGTGTAGACGTTCTTGCCCTCCGCACAGGCAGCCAGCAGGTCCACCAGGGAGATGTGGTACATGAGGGGGCTGTGGTCCTCCACGCCATCTCGGGCTGCCTTCATCATGTCCAGCAGATGGGCCAGGGAAGCCTTGTCATTGTAGAACACCACCACGTCGTCACCTGCGTTGGTCAGCTGTGACAAAGGCAGGTAGGAATCAGAAACCTTGTCTGGCAGCCCCAGGCACCACCTCCTGTGCTCCTCGGGGCAAGCTGAGCCATGACCCCAGCTGTGACCTGATACCCATGCTGAAAGTTTTGGGTTTCTGAAACTGTTTCATATAGCCCAGGCTAGCTTTGAAATCACTATGTAGCTGAGGATAACCTTGAACTCTTAATTGTTAGTTTTTATTTATTTTATGTATATGGGTGTTTTGCCTACATGTATATCTATCCACCACATGTGTGCAGTACCCACAGAGGCCAGAAAAGTGTTGGATCCATTGAACCTAGAGTTACAGGTGGTCATTAGCCAGTGCTGGGAATTGAACCCAGGTCCTCTGAAAGAGCAGGCAGTGCTCTTAACTATGGAGCCATCTCTCCAGCCCGACTCTGAATTCCTGATCCCCATCAGCCTCCTAAGTGCTAGGGTCACAGGTGTGAACCATCTTGCCTGGCTCCCTGCCTGAGTTTTGGGGTTCCTTGGCTGATGTGTCTGGCCCTCTTCCTTCAGAGACCTTGACCCTGGATCCGGAAAGTGGCCAAATCTCCTCAGCCCCCAGCGTGTGCACTGAACTGAAGCATACTCCACCTCTCTCCTCTCCCTCACGGTCGGGAGTTAACACGGCCAAAGCGAATGCTTCAGCTGTAGTGTCTCACCCGGACATCCCTGTCTCTGTCCCTGCCCACCCCCAGCCCACCGTGAGGTGCTCCTAGGGAACAGACCTCCCAGACTGGGATCAAGGCTCAGCCCGTTCTCCATGTTTTGGGTGAGAATAGGTTTGTGCATTCCCACTCTGCACCAGGCCCCGAAGTCCAGGTTCTCCTGACCAATTCTGGACAGGCGCCCCGAGTTCTACCGGCTTTCATTCTCCCTCCCCAGCTCTCCCTGGGACCCGCCTCCCAGCTCCCTGTGGCCCAGGCCGCCCTCACCTCGGTCATGATCATGTCCTGGCACTTCTTCACGTACTTGCCCTCAGCCTTGATGACGGTGTGCAGGAAGTCCAGGTACTGCACGTGGCGCCCGTGCGTGGCCAGCAGGTGTACAAAGTGCTGTAGCACAGGCTCACTGATCTCGGAGCACAGCTGGTAGTTGTTGAGGAAAATGTGCTGCATGGTCTCGGCCTCCAGGAGCTGTGGGGGGCAGGGGAGGGCCATCAGAGACGGGTGGGGCCCATCGGGGACCCTGCGCAGGCGCCCACATGTGCCTCACCCCGGGCGTGAGGAAGAGCTGTAAGTGCTTATGCAGCAGGGCCTGGTTGCCAGGGTTCCCGGCACAGAACTTCTGCAGGAACTGGTGTGTGTAGCGCAGGATCTCCAGCATCTTGTTGTCCCCCTGTGTGCAGAGAGAGGCTGCTGGGCCACCAGGGGGACAGGCCTGAGGTAGCTGGAAGTAGTCACCAGGGGGGACAGGCCTGAGGTGGCGGGCCACTGGGGGCGGGGGCACGGGGGACAGGCCTGAGGTGGCTGCTGGGCCACCAGGGGGGACAGGCCTGAGGTGGCTGCTGGACCACTGGGGGGTGGAGCAAGGGACAGGCCTGAGGTGGCGGGCCATGGGGGGGGGCACGGGGGACAGGCCTGAGGTGGCTGCTGGGGCACTGGGGGGGGGGAAGCAAGGGACAGGCCTGAGGTGGCTGCTGGGCCACCAGGGGGGACAAGCTTGAGGTGGCTGGAAGTGGTCAGGATCCCATAAGCCTCTAGGCTAGGGTTAAAAAAGCATAGGGAATGGAGTTGGGGTGGGGCGAGGTGGGGTGGGGAGCTTTACAGGAAGCTCAGTTGAGGAAATGCATCCATCAGATTGTTCTGTGAGCAAGTCCTTGGGGCATTTTCTCGGTTAATGATTGTTATGGGAGGGCCCAGCCCACTGTGGTAGTGGCCCTTACCCCTGAGTAGCGCCACCCCTGAGCAGGTGGTCCTCGAAAGCCGAGCGAGCCAGGAAGCAGCACCCTTTCGTGGCGTCTGCTTCGGTTCCTGCCCACTTCCCTTTATGATGGGAGTTTAAATATACATGCTCCCTATGCTCTGAGATTAAGTATATATATTCCCTGTATGCTCGGAGATTAAATAAACCCTTCCTCCCCAGGATGCTTTGGGTCATGGTCTCCACTACAGCAATAGGAAACTAAGGAGCTTCACTAGCTTCGCCTGTGGTGAGCTGGGTTTGACCCCTAGAACCCATGTGAAGGTGGAAGGAGAGAACAGACGTCTCTCCTGACCACACACACACACCCTGACACATGCATGTGTGCGCGTGCACACACACACACACTAAAAAGTCCGGGTGCAGCCTGAGATGTGTGTGTGTAAGATCAGCTCAGGCACCTGGAGCAACACCCAGCTGTTAAGGGCACATGCTGCTCTTGCAGAGGACCCAGGTTCCACCCCCAGCACCCAGACCAGACGGCTCACGAACACCTATAAATTCCAACTCCAGGAATCTGACACCCTCTTCTGAACTCTGAGCATGTGCACACAAACACAAATATTCAAAAAACAAAAAACAAAAACGATCAGCCAAGATGAAAGGCTGGAGTCAGAGGTAGGCAGAGGCTAGTGAGGGAAGGAGGCCTGGGGAAGGACCAGGTATCATGGACCTACCGGGATAAGGAGCCCAGGGTCAAAGGGCCATAATCGGACCCCTTCCTAATGCTGTAACCCCTTAATGCAGTTCTTCATGTTGTGGTGACCCCCAACCATAAAATTATTTTCATTGCTGCTTCATAACTGTAATTTGCTGCTACTATGAATCATAATGTAAATATCTGTTTTCTGATGGTCCTAGGTGACCCCTGTGAAAAAGTCACTTGAGCCCCCGCAAAGGGGTTGTGACCCACAGTTTGAGAACCACTGGTCTAGATGGAGCTGATTGATAGGCAAGGTTAGCCCAGAGGAGGGGAAGGAGGCTGAGGTCATGGTTAAGCCTTAGGGTCAAATTGAACTCAAGGGCTGTGTAGCTTAGTGAAGAACTACATGAGCAAGGCTCGGGGTCCAATACCCAGCACCCCAGGGAGTGGGGGGTTCACAGCAACCAAGGAGCAACTCAGAAGAGCCGGCGGGTGACTGGCTTGGCTGCGGTCGGCCCTGGAGGGCTGCGGTCGGCCCTGGAGGGCTGCGGTACAGTGGTACAGAGGTACAGCATAAGCAGGCTGGACGCCAGTCACCTTGTCATAAGGGATCTGCAGCAGGTCCAGCATGACCTTGTGGGCGTCCATGTTCTTCAGCAGCCTCTGCTGCTTCTTCCTCATCTGCTCCCCCACCCCACACATCTTGTTCAGCCTCTCCAGGATCTGCGGGGGAGACATGGGAGATGGGAGCCTTGTGCCTCCTCCTCAGGGTCCCTCTGCCTGGCTAGCTGCAGCCACACCCATCTACCACAGGGACAGGAGAGGGGAAGGACTCTGGGCTGCTGCCGCTGCTGAATCAGGCCATCCTGGCAAACCGGGCAAATCCCTAAAATCCCATCCCACCCGACAGGGCCGTAAAGTGGAGTCTCATTAAGTTCCATCAGCTTTAAAATAACTATCCAGGGCCTCGGCGGGGCTGTTTGGAACATGCCAGAAAGCTGGGAGATGCCTGGCTGCAGGGCCCAGAGGGAGGAGTTGAGAGAAGCCGGACCAGCAGGAGCCCCATGTGAGTCAGGTTGAAGCCAGCTGCAGGACACTTCCCACCCCTCACCCACCCACCCACCTACACCCTGCCACTCACGCCCTTGACAATCTGGTAGTTCTCACTGCTCTTCTCCCCGTGTGGCTGTAGAAATCCCTCCTCATCCGAGGGTCGCTGAGGACACAGAGGGTAGAGTCATCCAGGTCCCCTCATTTTGGAGCACCCTGTTTGGCTCCCGGAAGCCAGCTCACCTCTTTCTTGTCCTTGGTGGCGCCCGCCTCCCCCTCCTCGCCCTTGACGCTGCCTTTCTTGTCCACCCACAGCTCTGACTTCTCCACCATCATCCGCAGTCGGTCCAGTTCCGACTTGATCACCTTATAGTTCTCCACATCCTGGGCTGAGATTAGCAGCTGGACCTGCACAGGGAGGGCATAACAGACTCACGGGGCATAGGTCCCCAGATCTGCTGTTACGCAGGGAACTACAGTGCCCTCCCTAGACCAGGACCCCACTCAAGCGTCACCTCCATCTGTTACAGCCCCCTCCTCCAGGAAGCCTCCCTGCAGTGAGCTAACACGTCGACTGGCCACGGTTACTCAACTCATGTCACACACCACTGTGACCTGTCACTGGTCCACTCATGCCGAACAGGCCGGGGAAGCACTGCAGGGTCACTGAACCCGGGTGAAGGGGGGACCTGAACTCTAAGGACTAGGGCCTACATGTGGTCCCTCCTCCCTCTCACTGGGCCTGGGCCTCAATGCCCTCCTCTCACAGGGGGCTGAGAGGGGTGTCACATCCTGAGGGAGCTGGGGAATTCTGGGGAACCAATGCAGACTGGCGTCAAGTACATCATGAGTGCTTGCTAAATGCCAGCCCTGACCAGCAGGCATCTCACAGGAGGCTGCCAAGGGGACAGGATGCCACAGTGACGGACGCCAGGCAGCACAATGAGGGATGCCTGCAAGCCAGGCTTGGCAGGCAATGATCAGCAAAGGTGTGCATAACTGCCCACTCTCAAGGGGTGTCCACAACGTGAAAAGTGAGTCAGGGCAGAAGGTGCCAAAGGTGGCTGAGACTGGACCCTCCCCTGAAGGATTTGAACAAGGCCGGAAGTCCTTCAGTGAGGCCCAACATCCCTGCCAAGCTACCAGCAACTAGATCCCCGTGGCCCCTCTCACCTGCTTGAAGGTGTGCATGGCCTCCTGGCGCTGACTGAAATGCTTGAAGAGCAGCTGCAGGGCGCCGGAGACGAGCGGTGCATAGTCGTGCATGGTCAGGTGCAGCAGCACCCGCAGGAACATGCGGCCGCCCTCATCATCCACTTCTAGCATGCTGCTGGTCTTCCTGCCAGCAGGGGTGGGCAGGAGTGGGAGCCAGTGAGTGAGGGCACGGGCACGGGCAGGCTCTACCACCGCTGGGGCAGGGCCACACCCAGGGTACCACTCACTCACTGCAGATGCAGTCCTTTTCCCTCCCATGGACAGGGAATCACTGCCCCCGGCACCCTCAGGATAGCCCTCAACCAAGCCCCTGATGCAGGATCATGTGGGATCCATAGTCCCCGCACACTGAGGGGACAAGAAGACACCTCCTCCTTCTGTGAGAGAATACCAGCTGAGCCTGGGGGATTGCCACCAGTAAAAACCACAGACACTTTCACATCACCTCAGAGCTGTTAATGGAAATTGTGAAATACCATTTATGTTCGCCACTAGCTGGAGTCACGCTGCTAATTACACCCACCCATGCAGCTGCTACTTGATGTGCTAATAAAGAGCCATATACGCAGCTGTTACTTCCGATTTATTTTCTTCAGCATTTTGATAACTATTTCAATGCATTGTTTCCCTTGTAAATTTGTGAGCTTTATTTTATGAATCTATTCTGCACTACTGTGTTCTGGTTTATTTTTGAGACAGGATCTCATGTAGACCAGGCTGGCCTCGAACTCACTACATAGAGCCCTTGAGCTTCTGGCCCTTCTGCCTCCACCTCCTGAATGCTGGGGTTACAGGTGTGCAATGCCACCCCTGGCTTAGGTGGTTCTGGGGATCGAGCCCAGGACTTATGAATGCTAGATAAGTACTCTACAAACTGAAGTACATTGCCAGCCCCTATCTTCTGAAGTCACAGTGGAGTTCTGAGAAGAGATCCACTGAATGTGCTAGATACCAAGGAAGGCCGGCACCCACTGGCAGAGGCTCTGAGTGGCAAGTCCACTCCAGCATAGAGGGGCAGGGAGGGGGCATGCTGCAACACCCCCATCTCGCCCCGCTGTGAGGCGGGACAGCTGCCCCGAGCTGTGCTGAACACAGAGGCACAGCTGCCCTGCATGAAGGGCGGGAAATTACCATAATGCCTAGGACCCAGATTTACCCTATACCGTGAGGGATGGGCAAGCCAGGGAGGGTCTTCTGAGGGACACAGTGGAGGGAATGACCAGCCTTCAGCCTCAGGAAACCCAGGTTGTCCAAAGTGGGTAACATCAAGCCTCATGTTGACAACCTGTCTCCAACCCTGAACCTGAGCCCACCTCAACCCCAGCCTCACCCCACTCCAAACATGGCCTCTGCCTGCTCCCCGATGCGGTCCAGATTCATGTTGGCAGCTGTGGGGAGCAAGAGTGACAGAGGTATAGGATAGATAGAAATTCAGGTATGGGGGTGTCCACACCAGCCCCAGATGCTCCTGCAGCCCCTCCACCTGCCCAACCCCCTTCGTGAGGCAGAGCTTCCAGGCTGACAGCGTGGGGCAGGAAGTTCAGCAGCCCAAGGAAGCCCAGGCCCTGGTCAGCTCCCGGTGGGATATGACGATGACCCTAGTCAGGTCCTAGCTTCCCTGTGGGCCTGTTTCCCCAGTTAGGAAGGGTCCCTGCCCTGCTCCTCACTGTGGCAACCAAAGGGGCAATGGAAATGCATGTTGGGAGTAGAAAGGGTGGGTTGGGGAGCTGCAGACGGGGAGGTGGCAGGAAGCAAGGCTCACTGGTGGAATCGAAGGCCGGTGCCGTGCCGTCCGCCCCACTGTCCTGCATGGGAAACACCTCCACGAACTCCTTCTTGAAGACCGACAGCAGGTAGGAGATGCGGTAGTCCAGGCGCACGTTGAGGATGAACTAGACAGACAGACGATGTGAAGACCAGTCTCCCGGAGCCCTGCTGCTCCAAGAGGGGTGAGGGGACCCCAGAATGGGCTCTGGGATCCCACCACTCAGGATGCTCCAAGGCATCGAAACAACAAGCCTCTCTGTCCCCAGCTCCTGGTCCAGTGATGGTGGTTGGCGCCTCCTCCCAGCATAAGGCAGTGAGTCCCCCAACTACTGCTCAGTCCCCACACACACCCCAGGCCAGACGATGACAGGATATGCACAGAAACTCCCCAGGTCAGCAGGCCGAACTGTCTGTCCTTCCAGCTACTCTACCAACAGCCCTCTCCAGGAGGGAGAACTGAGGTACAAAGACAGGGTGTGGGGACCCGTGACTAAACTCTGTCTTCATGGGATAGAAACCCCACCTCTAACTTCCCTATGGTGGTCTCTCTGTCACACTCATGCCCTCTGGTCACAAGGGCCCCATCCCTCTTTGGGATGCCATGAATTGCTCTTCATGAAGCAGCATGTCTATGTGGGGCTTGAGTCCCAAGTAATGTCAGTGCTGCTGGTCCAAGAAGAACCTCGAGGACCAATGGGCTGGGCTACATAACCTGGCCAAACCCTGTGACCCTGAACACCAAGGGTTCCCCACCCCCGCCACTGGACCGCCCACCCACCTGCCCAGCACCTGCAGGATCTCCAGGATCTTCAGCTTGGTCTCCATCACCACAATGTCTTCATTATCCTCAAATTTGCTCCTGTCCAGCGGCTCAGGGACACCTGCTCCGGCAGGCAGGCTGGAGGCACCAAAGACAGACTGCTTGCGGCTCAGCACCATGGTAGACATCATGTGCCCCACGCCCTGGATGGACCTCCGCACGTTCTTGCCTGTGGGTCACAGAAGGGGGTCATCAGGGGACGGACAGCAGGGTTCCCAATCTCTGCAGGACAATTGCTAAAAAGGGACAGAGTTAACCCAGGCAGGCTTGGGCAGGGGGTGTGGTGCGGGGGTGTGGGGGCCGCAGGGAGCTTTATGCCAAGTCTAAGAAAACAATGGACCAAGCCAAAGCAAGCGGGTGGTGTGGAGAGATGAGCGAATCTCGGTGTGAAGCTGAGAGCCACTACAAAGCCTGAGGGACCGAGGGGACACTATGCCTACAATGCTGAAACCATGGGCCGGACCCCAGCACAATTTAGATGAGTGTGTGTCCTGGGGCACCAGGGAGGGCTGCAGACTGAGAGCTCCCGTCCTCTCCACACTCCCTGCTGGTGGGGCTGCCTCCCCTCTCACTCAGTGGTCGTGCTGAATCCCACTCAACTTCAAGACCAAGCAAGACCCCAGAGCATCACAGCACCTGGGCCAGCGGGATGGCGGGGACAGGAAGCAGGCAGCACTGTGGGGACCAGGAAGGAACCGAGGAGGGGGCCAAGCCTCACCACCAGGCTCCTCATAGGCCTGCAGCATGGCTGGGGGTGCCTGAACACAGTCAATGATGCCCAGCAGTGTGCGTGTGAGGCGCAGCAGCTCGCTGAAGCTGTAGAAGCCGAAGTAGATGAGGTTGTGCGCCAGGCTGACCACCTGCAGAGGGGGCGGGGCCGAGTGAGGGCGAGTGGGGATGCACACAGCGGCAGTGCGGGGTGTGTGGCCGGTGTACCTGGTTTGTGGGGGACAGGACCAACACACGCAGAGGTGTGGTTTGTGGAGTTAGACCAGTGTACTAAGGGGTGGGGGGTAGTGGGGCATTGTCTCCAAGGTGGTGATTGTCCAGGGGGAGAGTGTGGCTCTGTTAGGGTCCAAACAGGATAGAGAAAACCAGGATGCAGGGGTATCTGGAGGATGGAATTCCCAGGAACGGCAGACCCTGGCTGATGAGTTGAGTGGACTCAGCCCAGCGGCTCTCTTCTGGGCACTGAACCCTGGGGAGTCTGCCCACTGGGGAGCCTCAGCTATCTATGCGATCCCCTGGTGGGCTGAGGGCACCAGGGAAACGGGGTCGTGGATTCCACAACCCATCCCTGGATGCAGACCAAGGCCGAGGGAGGGCGAACCACAGCCCCACCATCCCCCAGCCCCACCATCCCCCAGCCCCACCATCCCCCAGCCCCACCTCAAAGGTGAGTTTGTTCTTTTCCTCGTTGGCGAAGGGCACGGCCTCGCTGACCACATTGTTAAGGTAATCTTCCACGAACTCCATGGTGCTGGCAAATTTGTTCTTCTTGTCATCTCGGGAGGCGTTGAGATTGGAATCATAGCTAGAGGTGGAAGCAGGAGGCATGAGGGTCCCCATGCCCTGCCCCGCCACCCTGTGCCCCTCCCCGACCAGCCGCCCACCCTCCGGACTCTCACTCCTTGATGGTGATGGCCGTGGGGATCTCCGTCCAGAGGCGGGCAAACTTGACAGGCGTCACCAGCTCCTGGGGGTCACGGTCCACGTGCACGTGGAGCATCAGGTGGCAGAAGGAGGCACGCAGGTCAAAGGGCAGCATCTCATCCGCCATGCACAGGAAAAGCAGGTCCACGCCCAGCTGCTTGGAGATCTCGTCGATGGCCAGATACTGGCGGTCCAAGCACATGCGGGCAAACAGCTTCAGCTGGTACCTGCAGGAGGCAGTGGGTCGGAGAACAGCAGCATCTGGGGCAAGGGCAGCAGGCTCGGGCCCGGCGAGGACTCCGCGGTGCGGCAGAGGACCAACACCTGCCAGAGAGGACAGCTCTCTCCCCTCCAGGCTCAGCTAGGCCAGGACGTGGGTGGCTGGGAGAGCGGGAAGAACCCGCTGGCGAGAGGTGTCTGACGTCAGTGAGAACGATAACAGGAGCCTCGCTCCGGGTGACATCAGGCCTCTTCCTCCTCACCACACCTCATTACCTCTGGGTCCTGGAGCCAGGCCACCCTGTGTATGAACTGTGCCTCAACCCTGAAACACCAGGCAAGATCTTTCACACTCTGTGCTTGTTTCCCAACTTTACAGGGACGGGGCTGCCTACTTCCCAGGGTATGAGGTGTGAGTGATGCGGTGAGGATATCCCATCAGTACCCGAGCACAGCTTCTGTGCAACTGTGTCAGACGTGTCTGGGCAGGCGTGCTGGCTCACACCTATAATCCCAGCCCGAGGAGGGATGAGGGAGGGAGCTCCCCCTGAGCTCAAGACCAGCCTGGGCTAAAGAGTGAGACACTGTCTCAAAACAAAAAAGCCAGGTGGTGGTGGCACACAGCTTTAATCCCAGCACTCAGGAAGCAGAGGCAGGTTTGAGGCCAGCCTGGGCTACAGAGTGAGTTCTAGGACAGCCAGGGCCACACAGAGAAACCCTGTCTTGAAAAACAAACTAAAATACAGGCCAGGTGTGATAACTCATGAGGCAGGAGGACTACCATGAGTTAGAGGGTAGCCTGGTCTACATAGTGAGAGCTTGTCTCAAAAAAATAAGGGGCTGGAGAGATGGCTTGGTGGTTAAGAGCACTGGCTGCTCTTCCAGAGAGTCCAGGTCTAATTCCCAGCACCCATGTGGCAGCTCACAGCTGCCTGTTAACTCCAGTCCCAGGGGATCCAACACCCTTTTCAGCCCTCTACAGGCACCAGGCAAGCACATAGTGCAGAGATATATACAGGCCACACAGAAAAATAAAATAAAAAGTAAACAAGAGCTCAGTGGGCAATGGGTGCTTGCTGCCAAGCCTGATGACCCGAGTTCAACCCCCAGGAACCACACTGTGGAAGGAATCAACCCTGGGAACTGTGACACGTGCATGTCCACACACACACACACACACACACACACACACACACACACACACACACACACTAAAAACATGAGATAAAAAATTAAACAACCAAAGCAGAGAAGTGAGAACACAGGAGACCTGCCCAGAGACAGGGCAATGACATGCTTTTTAAAAGCCTGGCCACTATGCTGAGCCTGGGCCTCAGGCCACCCAGCGCTGTCCTCGTGTGGAGAAAGGCTTTGTGCAGGGCGGGGTGAGGACAGGGCACCCGTCTGCCCAGGCAGAGGCCCCGACAGCACTGGACCTCAGGAGGGCGGGTCCCCCGCCCGGGCCGGTACCTGTAGTAACTGAGCACGTTCTCATCGTGCGCGTTGCCCGCCCGCGCCTCCTGGGCCAGCTGCCTCACACTCTTCTCGTGATGTTCATTGTTCCGGTCCGTCCACGTGAGCCACACTTCCTCTTCCGAGTACTCAATGCTGAGGTACTCATGAGACTGGGCCATCTCCTTCACGGGCCGCAGCCTGCAGCCAGCAGCATGGTCAGGGGGCCACCTCTGGCCACTCAGAGCCCCGATGCCCCTTATTTATTTTCTGAGACAGGTTCTCACCATAGCTAACCCCAGGTAGGCTGAGCCCCAGGGGTCCATGCCGCCTTGTGTGCAGTACAATCCAGAGCAGCTCAGGTTGGGGCTACGGCTCATCCCCCCTCAACCCCCCAGTCCCTCACGCCACCCCAACACACCCAGTGCCAGGCACTACAGGCACTGGAACAAGAGTGCTAGCCCCAGTGTGAACCCCAGTGAGCCCCTGGGGATGCGGCTGCCACTCACTCTGTCTGGATAAGAATGTCGCTGTTCTTGGGGTCCAGCACACACTTGCAAATGAGCTCTTGGGTGACAGGGATGGCGATGTGGTTGGACACACACAGGTCAGAGAGGTAGTCCAGGAACCTGGGGGGGTGGGGGGGTGGTCAACAGGGCCAGCAACAGACTCAGAAGCTGCCCTGCAGGCCAGAAGCCTAACTGCCCTCCTTCCGGACTGTCCAGGGGCAGCAGCCCATGGCACCTCCCTGGGACAGGGTGAAGAGACAGTCAGGGGTCAGGGCAGGCACAGGCTAAGGTTGGCATTCAAATTAACAACTGATTCAGGCAGGTACTGACTCAGTCACCAGAGGAGGGTGTAGGGGTGTCCATCCGTGTGGGAACTTTACATTGAGCCAAATTTGAGAGCCCCACCCCGGGAACTGGAGAGGAGGCAGTACACACAGTGCAGGAGTTTCGACAGCTAACAACCAGCACCAGAAGCCAGACATGGTGGCGCAGGCCTTTAATCCCAGTACTCTGGAGACAGAGTCAGGCCTCTGTGAGTTCAAAGCCAGCCTGGTCTGCTTAATGAGTTCCAGGACAGCCAGGGCTACATAGTGAGACCCTGTCACAAAAAAACAACAAAAACCAGGGCTAGAGAGATGGCCTAGCAGTTAAGAGCACTGACTGCTCTTCCAGAGGTCCTGAGTTCAATTCCCAGCAACCACAGGGTGGCTCACAACCATCTGTAATGAGATCTGGTGCCCTCTTCTGGCCTGCAGGAGTACATGCAGATAGAGCACTCCTATAACTAAATCTTTAGAACAAAAACCAAAACCCAGCCCCAGAGGCTGGAAGGAGGCACAGGGAGGGCAGGGCGCGGCGGGACACCTGGGCTCTCTGTTCTTGCGCACGAGGCTAACGAAGGTCTCCACCTCCGTCTTGGTGATATGCTTCTCCAGCAGCTTCCTGTTGTTGTGCAGCAGGGCGGTGATGGTGTCCTCAGCCAGGATGTCATAGCCAATCTGTGACTGCATCATCCCAAACTGCTTGGCAATGTGCTCCTGGGGGCAAGCAGATGGGGGGGGGGGTCACTGGGGCCATGGACAAGGGACAAGGCTGCTCTGCTGCAGAGCCTTGACACCCGACTTCCAGGTCGGTGTCCTGTGGAGCTGGGGTGACATCTGATCCTCCTGCCTTCGATTTTAAAAGTGCTGGGATTCCAAGCATAAGTTTATACGGTGCTGGGAATGAACCCAGGGCTCTATGCATGCCAGGCAAGCAATCTACCAACTGAGCCACAGCGCTAGCCAGCCTGATTCTGTCTCCTTTGCTATGGCTCAAATTCCTGCTTGCCTCTGCCTACCTAACCTCAGCCCTCCCTCTGGAGTCATTCTGGAGTCCGGAAACACCAGGACTGATCCATCTTTGTGACAGGAGTGGTCCCCAAGCAACAGTGAGCCTGCAGGGCAGGGCACCCCCAAGATCAGAGCAGTTATCTTATCTGGACCAGACTGTCTTGTAATCTATTGCAGGACCTGGGCTGAGGCAGCAGGCAGAGCCAACCGTGACCAGGGTCTTCAGCTCTGGCCCCTTGTCCTCCTCCACTTAAACCCAGAGCTCAACTTGGCACCCAAAGACAGACTTGGGGAGTCACTGAACCTTATTATCTATCTGTCTTCCTAATGAGGCCACACTGAATAAGTCTCTCAGTCTCTCTCTCTCTCTCTCTCTCTCTCTCTCTCTCTCTCTCTCTCTCTCTCTCTGCTTTTGACCATCATCGGTCTCTTCCATAACAGGATAGGTGGTTGAATCTAGCTCGTCGAGGCTGCCAGAGCCAAGCATTTCTTCTAAAAATCTCCAGTTACAGCTTTGGTGACAGACAGAGTCTGTGCCCCAAAGAATGGCAGAGAGCTAAGGCTGGGGGGCCAGGCTTCCGTGCTGTGTTCGGTCACCTCGTGGGCCTGAGTGAGGAGTCTCTACCCTGTAGAGAAAGCAGCTCTGAAAAGCCCACTTCAGGGCGAGCATGGAAGCAGCGGCCACAGCAGAAGGGCGTCTCGTCTTTACGTGGTTTCTGAGCTGTGCTCTGTGGCTCCTCCCAGGGCCTTGTCTGTCTAGCCAGACTGGCTACATGGTACAAAATAATGAAAACATGGTTCAAAAATGAAGAATTTTAGGCTAGGAGGTGGCACACACCTTTAATCCCAGCACTCGGGAGGCAGAGGCAAGTGGACCTATGTGATCTATATATGGAGAGTCCTAGGCTAGGGATGTGGCCAGCCAGATCTACATAGTGAGACCCTGTCTCGATAAACCAAAACAAGACTAGGAGAGAAGGAAGCAGTGTTTTAAGATGGCAACAGCAGAGCCCAGGGCAGCCTAGGGTAAGCCCCCAGCTAGGCATGCACCCCGGAAGCCAGCCCCACCATCTGGTGGCCGCCTGTACCCAGTGTCTCACAGTGCCCTGCTGCCAGCTTCTGTGCCTAGAGACACCTGCTGAGGAGCACAGGCAGAGCCTACGTCCAGCAGGGACCGTCCTCCGCCCACCTGGTTCTTGCGGTAGTCCTCCTGGGAGTGCCGGAGCACCCGGTAGCAGAGGCGGAACATGTACTGGTAGGGGGCGTTCTTCTGGTCGGACAGTTCCTCCAACCGCACCAGCGGACCTTCGCCCCCCTTGTCACGGAACGGGGCCTTCAGGATGCCAAAGATCTGAGGGGTGTAGAGAGTGAGAAGGACTCTCCCATCCTGCCTACGCCCCTCATCCTCCTAGGAACCCCAACCCTGACTGACTCCATCCCAGAGCTTCCCTTCGCAGGAGCCCAGGGCCGTCCTGCTCAGGGGGACTCCAGCCTCTGTGGGCTTCAGCGTCCTCATCAGTATCATGAGGACAACAGCTCTCCTGCAGGAGGGGATCGGATGAGGTGATTCCTGCAAGGAGCTCAGGAAGGCACCTGGCACGTGCCCATGGCTCAGATACATCTTCCCCCAATGGGGATGGCACCTAGACCTTTGGTTGAATATGCTGAGCAAGTGCTCAGTTACTGATCCACACCCCTGGCTCCCCACGGGCGGGTTCACAAGTGCTCTACCACTGCTGGATCTAGGCAAGGACTCTGCCCCTGATCCATACCGAGGCCCTCGCTGGTAAATTTTAGCATCTGCTGCTGAGCCATGTTCCCAGACCCTTGATGGTAAATTCTAGGCAGGCCTTCTACCACTGATCCATGCTCCCAGCTCTTCACTGACTTATTCGAGGCAGGCGCTCTCCCGCTGAGCCACACCCTCCGCTATCCCTTCAGTAGAAGCCATGAGCCCCCGGAGAGCACACACACCTGCTTAAGTATATTCTGCTCCCGCATCAGCTTCTGCCGCTCCCGGTTGGGCTTGGTGACCATGATGTCCAGGACATTCTGCCCATTGTTGGGAACATCGCTGACAAAAAACACCAGGTCCTCCAGCAGCTGGATGACAAACCTGGCCGAGGGCAACACCAGAAGCAAGCGTGATGTGCTGAGCGCAGTTCCCCTAGGGCCCAGCCAGCATGTGCCCACACGGACAAACAGCCCTTTCCAGTCACTGCTGCAAAACCCAGCGTTAGCCCCTCCCCCGACCAAACTGCTCTTAGGAAATGCCCCACACCCTCCCCTCCCTGAACCCCAAACTGTCCCAAGATAACAAAGCTCAGAACACTGTAGAAAGAGCTGCTGGGCAAGGGGGACTAGGGGGTGTGTTTGTTGTGAAAGAGTCTGCACTGTCCTGATTCTACTGCTTATAGATATGTGACCCTGGACACGGCCCCTAACTCCTCTGCACCCCAGTGGCTCCATAAGGCTACTTCCGGGATGATGTGAGCAGTGAGGCAGGCTCCCCGCTCCAGGGATGCAGTGCCAGCCTGGTTCCCTGGGGACTGAATCCTACATCATCTACCTGGTTTCTGACTCGCAACTCCTCTGTGATCCTAGAGAGAAACTCAGTCATCTACACCCCCCCCCCATGGTCTCCTGCTGCCCCTACAACTCCATCCACTGTTGTGGAATATTACTTTAACTATGTAAAGATATGTTTATGCATTTGTTTTTATCTTGCCTGCCTAAGGCACCTGATTGGTTTAATAAAAAGCTGAACAGCCAATAGCTAGGCAGTAGAGGGATAGAAAGGGCTGGTGGGCAGAGGAATCTAGGTTCAAGAGAAGAGAATGAGGGAGAAAGAGAGGGAGATGCCTGGGGACAGACAGACAGACATGGAGGAAGCAGGAAAGTAGGACATGCAGAAGGAAAGAAAGGTAAAAAGCTCCGAGGCAAAACATAGATGAAGAGAAACAGATTAAATTGTTATAAGAGCTAGTGGGACAAGCATAAGATAAGGCCGAGCACTCATAACTAATAAGAAGTCTCCATGTCTTTATTTGGGAGCTGGTTGGTAACCCAAAGAGAAAGTCTACTACATATGGTGTCCAATGTGGGACCTGAGTTTCCACACAGGGCCTGAGTAAGCTGGAAAACAAAACAAAACACTAAAAAGGATATGGCTCCTTTAAGAGGCTCTGCTGCACACTGAGTCCTTGAGCAGCCAGCACATTAAGTAGAAACACAAAGCTAAGTAAAAACAGTAAAAACGCCTGCCACACTGCAGGCACCAACTTCCTGGAGCTGGGGAAGGTGAATGCAGCTCCCAGTTAGATGAAGCTCTCGGCCAGGCCCACTGGCACAAGATTGGCTCTCACAGACCCAAGGAGAGGGTGGAGCCAGAGCCAAGGCAGCAGAGGGCCTAGCTGCTGCTTAGCAGTTTAAGGCTTGGCTCATGAGGTCAGAAAAGTCTAGAGACACGCAGTGAAGACAGGTCCAGATGGAAAAGAAACTCTGAACAGGTTACAGTGTGCTGAAAAATGTGCAGAGGCTTAAGAAAAGAAAATGGGTATAGACAATCATAGGAAAAAATAGTTTAAAAATAGTAGTCTTTAAAGAGAATACAGTAATATAAAGGAAAAAAGCCACATAAAGATGGGAAATACACAGGGAGTCTGAATTCTGTATGGTGCTGTGTTGACTTTGAATTTTTGGAATGCTGATGAGCAAATGACAGCTTCTGAGAGACATGGGATTGTAAGAGGAACTGCTGAACTAAACCAGCCTAGACACTTTAGGGATGTCTTAACTTTAAAACGGAATTCAGGAACTGTATTGCATTGGGAGAGAGGTTATACTTTTGTTTCCCCAGGAAATGAAAGGCTGTGGATTCCTTCAAGGTTAATAGAGATCAGATTTGATTGGAGGAGACCTCCCTCCTGAAAATCTTGGCTACAGACATAAAGAAATAAACCAAGAAAGACAAGACAGGTGACATATATACTGATCCCTCTGCACGGAAACAGTTCTAAAACTGGACAACAAATGTTACAACTAGTTTTTCCAGGATTTGACCATTGTCTCAATTTTCTCAGGGTCCCCTGGGGATGCTATTATCCTCAGGCAACAGGAAGCAGTCTAGAGAACACAACACCCACATTCCCAAGAGGTGGGTGGGTGGATTTTGGTCATTTGGTGGGTTATAGATGTTTGTCATCATTTAGGGGGACATAGGAATATAGGATAGAAAGACAACTATTAACCTCAAATATTTTACGTTAGTATGGATTTTGGTATGTTGATACAAATTTAAAGTTATTTTTGTTATACTGTATGTTTCTACTCTTACACAGCTCATTTTAAAATGTAATGTATAATTAAAAATGGAGGTTAGTAGTTAGTCATCTATAATAATCAAACTTATAGTCACATTAGGTATGTTTTCTAGGTTAAATAGATATATTTTAGATAGATAGGTGATCTTCAAATGCTTCAGAGACCTATAGAATATGACATTTAAGATGTTTTTATAACATACAGCTTTTCATGACAGTGAGACATGGATGCTCCTGACAGCACCAATTTACTTCAGAAAGGATGACGGGCATCGAAGAACCTCCATATGGAGTTTGCTTTCATTGTGGCAAAGCTAGCCATTTGGACAAGAAACTGCCCTTGCGTTGACTGGTGACAGTGTGCTGTACAAACTGGACATGCAGGACACAAGGGAAAAGTGACTGTCGAACTTTGCCAGAACAAGGCAGGACAGTCCTTCAAAATTCCTGCTTCCTAGAAAAGTCTGCCAGATATTCTAGGCCTGTAGGCTGAAGATGGATGCCCCAAAGTTGTAAAGGAAACTTGGGTGACTGACCAGGCAGCCAGATAGATGTCTCTGTCATTTCTATAGTTTTGGAAGTTGCTTGCTCTGCACTTCCTATTTACTCAGGTAATATTATAGCCTTCTAGGATCTTTGATGGAGTTGAAGACTAGATAGTTATAGTTACAGTTTTCCTTTGTTATGATAGAAGGTAAATTAGGTACAAAACTTTGGACTCACCAAGATAGAATAAATAATGGAGTATTTTCTCTGAATTTGTCAAATATAAATGGATTGGATGCTGTAAGTGAAATTCTTACTTGATAACTGTTCTTATTGTATATAGTTTTACTATGTTAAAGTTAAAACCCTTTCTTTTTACTTAGAGAAAAAGAGGGAAATGTTGTGGAATATTACTTTAACTATGTAAAGATGTGTTACATTTGTCTAATGATGTAAAGATGTGTTGCTTTGCCTGTCTAAAGCACTTGACTGGTCTAATATAAAGCTGAACGGCCAATAGCTAGGCAGTAGATGGATAGGCAGGGCTGGTGGACAGAGAGAACAAGTAGGAGGAGGAATCTTAGTCTCGAGAGAAGAGAATGAGGGAGAAAGAGCAGAAGATGCCCAAGGCCAGCCAGGAAGGCACAGAGGAAGCAGGAAAGTAGGCCATACAGAATGACGGAAAGGTAAAAAGCCGAGATGAAAGCCGGGCGGTGGTGGCGCACGCCTTTAATCCCAGCACTCGGGAGGCAGAGCCAGGCGGATCTCTGTGAGTTCGAGGCCAGCCTGGGCTACCAAGTGAGTTCCAGGAAAGGCGCAAAGCTACACAGAGAAACCCTGTCTCGAAAAACCAAAAAATAAAAATAAAAAAAAAGCCGAGACGAAACATAGATGAAGAAAAACAGGTTAAATTAAGTTGTAAGAGCTAGTGTGACAAGCATAAGGCCAAGCAGTCATGATTAATAATAAGTTTCTGTGTCGCCGGGCAGTGGTGGTGCACATCTTTAATCCCAGCACTCAGGAGGCAGAGCCAGGCGGATCTCTGTGAGTTTGAGGCCAGCCTGATCTACAGAGCAAGATCCAGGACAGGCACCAAAGCTACACGGAGAAACCCAGTCTAGAAAAAAACCTAAATAAATAAATAAATAAATAAGTTTCTGTGTCATGATTTGGGGGCTGGTGGTCCGAGAAAGCCTGCTACACACCCCTCCCCAGCGTACCTGCGGTCATTCTGGCTGATGAAGCCGTCATTGAGTTTCTCCACAGCACTGGCCAGCATGGAGCTGGCATCGTTGGCAAAGTCCAGGTCACGGATCTCAGACACCGGCACAGACACAATGGCAAAGGCCTCCTTGTCCTCCTTGGTGGGGCACGTGCCCAACTGTAGAGACAAGGGTCAGCAGGGTGCCAGGGACAGGCTCCGGCGGGCGGGACCCAGTCCCATGCACCAGGGCCCGCACCATGAGCCGGATTGGCCGCTCCTCCTCCACGTCGATGGGCGCGTTGGTGCTCTGGATCCATGTGTTGGTGCACAGGTGCCGCAGCCGCACATAGGAATTCCTAGGTGAGAGGCCAGAGCCAGTGAGGGAGGGTGCCACAGACCACAGCCGCTCTCCGTTCACCAGTCCCCAACACGGTCCTCTTCCTCTGCTCTGACACCTCCACGGTGTGGGTACTGAGGATGGGTGGGGCCTGTCTCTACTGCAGTACCCTCATGCACGCAGACCCCTAAACCAATGCTTGCTGGTGAACACGGGGCCAGAATTCACCTGGACAAACCAAGCCCCCAAGAGTGTCGGGTTAGGGACAAGGGGCTAATGGTTCCTTTGTTAGTTCCCCAGAAATCCTAGTGACAGGCCCTGGATATTCCCACTCCACAGACGACACACTGAGGCAGGGCGGTGGAAACAGCTACCTGAGGTCTCACAGCCAGAAAACACTAAGGCCTGGATGGCTCAGAATTTTTTGAGGCATGCACCTGTGTGTGCACATACATGTTCCCATGTGTACACAGGTGTGTACAGACTTGAGTGCGTGGAGGTTGGCATAAGGCCACTTCCTTCCTTTTCTATGGAGACAGGGACCTCCTGTTGAACCAGGAACTCATCGTGTAGCAGCATCTGGCTTGCCGCTGACTATGGAGATTCCCTGTCTCTGCCTGGTGCTGGGAGGCGGGCCTCGCTCCCGCCCAGCTTTCCCGTGGGTTTTGGACATGCAGACTCCGGTCCTCACACTTGGACGGAAAGTGCTTTATTTGTGGAGTCATCCTACAACCCTGTGATATTTCATTTATTTCTTTATTCTTTTTTTTTTTTTTTTTTTTTTTTTTGAGACAGGGTTTCTCTGTGTAGCTTTGCGCCTTTTCCTGGAACTCACTTGGTAGCCCAGGCTGGCCTCGAACTCACAGAGATCCGCCTGGCTCTGCCTCCCGAGTGCTGGGATTAAAGGCGTGCGCCACCACCGCCCGGCTTTATTTCTTTATTCTTAAAGACAAGGTCTCCTGCAGCCGTGGCTGGCTTCAAGCTCTCTACGTGGTGGAGGATAACATCCTCCTCCTGCCTGGTCTCCTGCCTGCTGGAACCACAGGCAGGAGCCGCCTCCCCTGGCTTACACAGTGCTAGATACTGAACCCAGGCCTTCGTGCCTGCCAGCAAGCTCTCCACCAACCAAGGCGCAGCCCCAGCCACAGGAATGTGACACTCTACATTCTTAGGGTTGGTGGGGCCTTACAGATGTGGGAGCCTGACCTCCCCACCCCCCCAGCCAGCATCTGGGTTCTCCAGGTGCCTAGCTGCAAACAAAGGATCCCACTGATCTCACGCCTTGTGCTTGAGCACCTGGCTGGACTGGGCCAAGTGCTGAGGACTGTGTAGTAAGCCCAGGGCAGACCGGAGAGCAGCAAAGGAGGCTGTGCCTGTGCGCAGGTCAGCTCAAACAGGTCTCAAAACTGCAGATCCAAGAGGCCCCCAAAACCAAGGGCCCTGGGTGGCCGGCACACACCTACCGGGGCACGAAGGAGTCGGTTTTCTGCAGCGTGGTAGGGTCCAGCTCAAAAAGGGAGGCGATGTCATTGCCATGTGGCACAGCTACCAGACGGTACTTGATCTTCTCGCCTGCATTCCTGCGGCCTGTGCGGCCCTGCGCCCCCTGGGGTGAGGACCCCCAGGTCAGGCGAGACCCCATCCTTCCTCTCAGGCCCCACCCGAGGGGCCTCCTCCGTCCATCCCACCTATTTCCCAGGTCCGCCCCGCCCCCCGCCCGGGCAGATGCTCTGTCCCACTCCTCACCGGTCCTGCTGCTTTGGGATCTGAGGCATCACCTTTGTAGCTGGGGTTTTCCTGAACGGAGGTACAAGGTGAGGGGGGATTACTATGCTATCAGCACTGCCCCCAAACACAGGGTCATACCCAGAAGGCACTCCAAGGCGCCTACCCCAGGCCCAAAGGCCGTGTGACTCCTAGGAGAGCTGTGCAGAGGAGGCCTTCACGGTCCCTTCTCCATAGGCCCGTGCATGAGCAAGCGTGCACATGCAGCCTGTGTCCCCAGCACACAGACGCCATGCACACTCCGCTCCTCACTCACCTCGGCAGCCAGATAGTTGCCTGTGGCCAGGTGCTTGAAACGGTACAGACCATTCCAGTGTCCCGCCCCGCCTCGGCAGGGGTCGTGGTGGACCACCTGGGGACATGTAAGGGTGAGGTGGAGAGGAGGGACCAGGACTGAAAAGGAAGTCCAGACCCTGGGAAGCCTGTGGGGATCCAAGTGCCCAGGTACCTCCCTGGCCTCTTGGGGCCAGGGGAAGGATGGGACAGACACTCCATCCTCTAGGGGGCGGGGGCGGGGGGTGAGGGGGCGAGGGGGGGGGGGTGAAGCCAGAGTGTGGGCTCTGACCTCCACCTCCCAGAGTGCGTTGGAGCTGGTGGCTGAGGTGGCGGATTGGCGCAGCGTGGTTCGCAGGAACACCTGCAGCCTGCCCTTGTACTCGTCACAGGTGAGGAACTTCTCCTGCTCTGCATGGAACAGCCGCACCACATCTCCCTGTGGGCGGGGTTAGGAGGGAGGGGGTCCGGTGTTCGCAGTCAGGCCCCCAGGCTCAGGGACCCGGTGCAAGGCCCAGTCCCTCAGAGGCAGCTTGCCGGACCCCATGAGCTGTGAGCGAGAAGCCACAGGGCAGCCGGGTGCTGTACACAGTCCTCTACCTCAGGTTTGCATACTCCAACCCACCTGGCACCTCCTCCCTCCTGGACCTCCAGATGCCTCTAATGCCATGTCCAGGAAGGCAGGAAGGACTCCCCTTTCTCAGTCTCCCAGCCCAGGGCCACCCTCTCCTCACACCCCCACCCACCATTTCTTTTGCTCTCTGGCAGCTGGAGGGTGGTAGCCATGGCTTGTTCACCTCCAGACCTTACACGAGAACTGAGTTTGAATCTCGCTTTCACACTGTGTGAGGGGCTGCGATACGTTCCTTAATGTCCTTGAGCCTCAGCTGTGTCTTCTGTCAAATGGGAGCCACTCCGACTTCCGGCAGACACTTTATCACGAGGTTTGATGGAGTAACGCTACACCACCCAGGCAGAGAAGGGGGGCACCCTGCCAAGAGCCACGCAGCCAGGGGCAAGTGGGAGAGTCCCTGCCTCAGTCCCACACCTGAATCCCTCCTGCATACTCCCTCCCCCTGCGGCGGCCACTCAGCAGGTTCTCAGAGCACGGCTGTCACCCCATGATCGGCTAATGGCGATTATCTGTCTTCCTGCACTGAACCTGCCTCTGGACACAGTGCTCAGGGGACACCTGTCAGGTGGAAGTGAGTGATGCATCTGTATCCAGACTGCCTCAGTCCCTCCAGCAGAACCCAGGGACAGTGTGGCCAGTGCAGAGGAAGGCACACACAGGTGGGCTTTCATGAGACTGCCTTGCTTCTAGCTTGTCTGGAGCTAACCGCAACACCATGACGGCCTCACCAGAAGCTAGTGTGGGGATGGCGGAATTGGGCCCAGGGCTTGTTTTATACACGCTGCCCAGAGCTGGGACTAGAACGTGTCACCGGAGGCTTTGGGGAGGGGCACATGGTTGGGCTCTGGCTGACGCTTGGACAGTATTAAGGTTCAGTGGACAGAGGGAGAAAGCATTTGAGCAACCCAGGTTGACAAGGTTCAGAGGGACGAGGGAGGCAGCGTGTCTAAGCACAGCCTGGAAGGAGAGCCCTGAAGGGCACCCTGGGGCTTCTGAGCAGGGAGCAGGCTGGCCTCAAGGCACCTGCTTGGAGACCTAGCACCCCCACAGCTCCCCAGAATATTCTCCTAAGTAGGGTGCCTCACACTCTGCTCCCTACCCCTAACCTGCCTCTCCATCAGAAACTTGGTTTTTAGGCTTTGCAAACATTCGCCCTGGTGGCTCAGTATTCACTGCAGGGCCATCGGCTGCTCTGCCTCTCGGGCCAGCCCTTCCCTGGCCTGCCGCTGCCTCCTCCCCCAGTACACACACTGGCATGGGGACAGAGAAGAGGAACAACCCACCCCGACGGCAGGTGGGCAGGCACTGACTGCTGGTAGCAGGCAGGAGCAGCCTTTCCTTGCCCAAGAGAGCTCAGGGCACAATGTGGAGCCCACAGAGTAAAAGGCAGAGACAGGAAGGTGTGCTCCAAGGATGTGGCCACCCTAAGGTGGAGGACAGGGTGAGGAGGACTCTGATATTCCTTTGCAAGAAAAGGAAATGAGGTGAGCCGAGGGGAGAAGAGATGGCTGGGATGTAGGGGGCCAGCTCCCACATTTATTTACCCCAGGAACTCTTGAGTGAGGAATAAGAGATTTAGATAGAAATACAGAGGAGAGAGACAGAAACACAGGATAACCTCGGGAGGGCCTGGGTCAAAACCCACCAGCCCCTTCTGTCTCTTCTAAAGAAGGGCTTTTAAAGGAACGCCAAGCGGTGGAGCAAAAGACCTCCCTGAGCACAGCCAAGTGCAGACCATCCCAAGCACCTGGTGACCACGCACATGGCACATGGTCAAGTCATCCCTAGTGCAGCCCTGCTGTGTAAAGCAAGCCCAGATCTCACTAGGAGACCTTTGTGGGCTCCCACACTGGGACACATGGGGACTTCCTGGAGGTAGAGGGAGCTGAAGGGGTACAGAGCCAAGGCAGCCATTCGACGGGAAGAGGAAAGGGCTCTAAGCTTACCCCCTTCAACACCTCCTCCAGGTGGTCCCGGAACTGCATGAATAAATTGATCTTCCAGCTGGTATTGCAGTTGACAGAGTTGACCTGTGGGGGGCGGGCAGGCTGGTGACGCTGCTGGCAGAGCAAGCTGCCAAGAGCTAGTGCTAGAGCTGAAGACTAAGGAGGGGGAGGGGGAAGGGGGAGGGGAGAGGGAGAGGGAAGGGGAAAGGGTAGAGAGGAGGGGGAGAGGGGAGGGGAAGGGAAAGGGGAGGGGAGGGAAGAAGGAGGAGAGGGAAGGGGAAGGGGTAGAGGGAAGGAGGAGGGGGAGAAGGAGGGGTTGGTGGGAGGGGGAAGGGGGAGAGGGAGAGGGAGGGGATGGGGGGGAGAGTGAAGCCAGCCCAGCTCCTGTAGTGGCTCAGGGTGCTTCCCTAGCCAGGACTTGTGGCAGCTGGCCAGTGGGGTGAAGGAGGAGATCCCACACTGGGAGGGAGGCAGTGGGGCCCAGGGTTCCAGGCAGCACCACCAGTGCCGGGGAGGGGTACACACAAGCCAGGGGTCTTCAGTGGAGCTTCAGCCCCAGACGCGCCCCCCACCCCACTCACTCACCTCCCCCACCCCACTCACCTCCCCCACCCCACTCACCTCCCTCCACCCCACTCACCTCCCCCCACCCCACTCACCTCCCTCACCCCACTCACCTCCCCCACCCCACTCACCTCCTTGCAGCCAGCATTGTCACTGAGCTCATAGTTGCTGGCGTGCAGCGGCTGCCCTGCGTTGACAGGATTCAGGATCACCTTGTCCCCCACGACCACCTTAGGGGACAGACAGCAAAGAGAGGCGAGAAGAACAGGAGTCCATTTTCCACCAGGGTCTCCTCCCTCGGCTCTGTCCCCCTGGAGGGGGTCCACACCTCCGCCCAGCCCCTTCCGGCCCTGGCCTCGTGCTCACGTTATCCCCATTGCTCCGCAGCTTCCAGAAGGGCTGGATGAAGAGCCAGGAGCCCTCATTGCCTGTAGCGTCCAGAGTCACCCGCATGGCGTTCTTCTCCAGCAGGGCTGGCAGCCGCTTGTTCACGGTCAGGTATTTGTTGCTTTTCATGTGCAGAAGCTGAGGTACAGGTGGGGCAGGAGTGAGGCCACCAGACCTGGGAGGCCAGGCCCTCGGGGAGGAGGACACCCGGGATGTCGGACACACTGTCACAGGCCGATACACAGCGACACACACACACAGTCGCAAACATGCAGACCTTGTCACAGAGAAGCAGCTAGTCTCAAAACTGCTCGCCAGGCCAAGGGGCAGCTTAGCAGGAGACGACCTGCCAAGCGCGCACAGGTCCTGGCTCATCCCGCACCTCCATGAAGAAACAAGAATTAGGCACATTTCAGCCATGTCATCTTTTCTCAGACACAGTCCGGGATGACCTGAGATTTTTGACCCTCCTGCCTGTACTTCCTGACTGCTGGATTGCAGGTGAGACCCACCTACCTAGTTTATGAGACTCCGGGGTCTAGCCCAGGGCTCTGTGCACGCCAAGCAAGCACTGTACCAATTAAGCCACATCTACTGCCCTCGCTAGTCTTACACAGAATCTGACAACACTCCCCACAGGCAAACAATGCAGGGTTAAGGCCTCAGGTGGACTGAGAAGCTTGGCAAAGCAAAGTTAACTCCATTGATAGCACCTGTGGGCTGTTAGGTCCCAGAAGCCTCTGATTAGAGGACAGGCATATCTCCGCGTGGCATCTACCACCCTGAGAAGGCAGGGGAACTGACGTGCAGATGGAATCTTCCATCTCCTTTCCGTCCTACCAGAACCCAAGCACGCCACACCCAGTGGGCAGTCTCCACTTCCTGGAGACTTCAGAAGTTCTGGTTGAAGACTAATCCCGCTTCTGTAGGTGCCTGTCTACCTTTATTTCCACGTCACCTGTCAATCCCAATCTAACAAACACTATCCCTGGCCCTGCTTTAAGATTATTTTTATTTTACGTGTAGAAAGGATTTTCCTGCGTGCATGTACGTGCACTATGTGCATGCAGTACCCAAGAGGCCAGAAGGAGGCATTGGACCTCCTGGAACTGGAGTTACAGACAGTTGTAAGCTGGTACATTGTGGTGGCTGGAAATCTAACTTGGGTCCTCCGCAGGAGCAGCAAGGACTCTTAACCACCGAGCTGTCTCCAGTCCCTGCTGGCTTGTTTCCAAACGAACTAAATGAGGCACAGGAGAAGAAAGGCAAAGCCACACTTTAAGATCAGAGCCTAGCTCCGTATGTGCTCACGGCCCCTGAGCTAAAAACTCTCCTCTGGGCACAGTGCAGAGGTGCAGCTGAAAAGGTGTTAGGAAGCCATCTACTAGCGATATGCACGCCACACACACACACACACACACACACACACACACACACACACGCACGCACGCACGCACACACGCACGCACGCACACACACGCACGCGCACACACAGCAGGGAGTGCTCTGCACCAAAGCCACACCTGGATCACACTGCCGTACTTGACCACGTCACCATGAACCTTCTTGTTCTCCGTGTCGTTTTGCTTTTGCTCCATCTGGGCCGCGTGCTGCAGACACACGGGGGGTGGGGGAGTAGGGGGGGTGTGTGTGTGTCAGAAGCTGCTCCCGAGGAAGGTGCCTCCAGGCGCACACACACTCACCCTTGGCCCCAGGCTCTGGTGCTGCATCCAAGAGGCCCTTCGGGATGGGGAAATCCCTCCCACTAAAGCAATGGCCTGAGACTTCAAGTGCAGAGGGCAGCCAGTGGACAGCTCACCATGGCCGAGAAGCCTGATCCCACCCTAGAGGGCACCTTCGGAGGACCCTGAGCCCTCATGCCTTTGACACATCCAGCCACTTAAACGCTCTTTATCCCCATTCTTTGGGATACCTCCACTCCAGACTAAGCTGGGCAAAGGCCACTTCCCACTCCAGAGACCCCTGCTCACGGCTCCAGGCCCTCCCCTGATGCCACACCAGCTCAGGTGGCTTCAAGGACGAGCTCCATTACCTCTTAGGGGAAGCTCTTTAAACTGTGCCATCAGCCCAGAACCTTCCTGAAGAAAGGCCTCCTCCATCAGACAAGCACACTCTGAGGACAGTGGCCCCTCTGCCCTTTCCTCCCACTCTGTGCTGTTACCAGGCCTAGGGTAAATCAAGCCAGGCTACAGAGGCTGCGGGGAGCTATGCACGACCCTCCATAAAGCTATAGTGTGAGGCTCTGACTCAGGTGTGAGCCCTGTGTCTCATCCCCAGCTCAGCCTCAGTCTACACTGGCTGTAGGGAGGAAGCCTGGGACAGCCCCACCCGGAGACCAGGGCTCAGGCAGCCCCTCTGCCCCTCCTCTACAGCCAGGTCACAGCTATGAGGTGGATCCACCCAGCCCCTATTTCAGTGCCCAGCCCTCAGGGCACGGGGCTCAGAGGCATACCACAAGCTGCTGACCACAGTCCAAGCTTCCCACTGTCGGGGGCGAGACCTGAGCTCTGTTCAGAGGAAACTCAGTGTGCGAGCTGCGACTCCACTCACAGGAGCTTGTGGCCCAGCAGACCCAGCACCACGACACCAGACATGAGTCCAAGAAACTCAGGGGGAGTCAGAGACCTAGGGGCTGCCTCGACTCAATCCAGACTCACAGGACGGGCAGACAGGCCCTGTCTAAGAGCCCCAAGCTCCAGCTCTATAAAGCAAATGGGAGATTAAGACGAGACCCAAGGTTCTCAAATGAGGTTCCTCGGAGTCACTCCTCAGAAGCCACTAATAAGTCTGAGTACAGCGGTTTGGGTTGTTTCTATCTAATCGCTGAGTCATGTGCCCTGGCACAGAGCTATGCCCATCTTGTAACTGGCAGCAAGGATTTATGCAGACGTTGGGTTCCTAGACAGGCACTCCACTCCCTGCCGGCCCAGACTCATGGCCTTTTAGGCCAGTCTTGTCCATGAGGATTTTCAAAACGCTCTTCTCATGCATGAAGCTCCCACTGGCCATGAGGAGCGGAGGTCCTGCCGTGCGCCCCAGTGCGGAGCGCCCCAGTGCCGTGCACCCCAGTGCCGTGCGCCCCAGTGCCGTGCGCCCCAGTGCCATGGGCCCCAGAGCCATGCGCGCCAGTGTCTTGCGCGCCAGTGCCATGCGCCCCAGTGCACTGCGCATCCATGCCGAGTACCCCCAGTGCGGTACACATCCGTGCCGTGCGCCCCAGTGCGGTGGGCCCCAGTGCCGTGCACATCCGTGTGCACACACCTGCAGCTTCTGCAGCAGTACCACGTCGGCGATCTTCTCCTTGTCCTGCTTAGTCTGCTTGGCTTTCCAGTACTGCTTCTGTGCCGAGTAGCGGTTCATGGGGCACACTTTGAAGAGGCAATCTGCGGTGGGATCGGAAGAGATGGGGACTCAGTCAGAGCTGAGAGCTCAGGGCTCAGGGCAGAACCCCAGTCTCCCAGCCTCTCCCAGCCTCCTGCCCATGGGGTGGAACAGGAAACAGCTAGAACAGCATGAACACTAGAGACCCAGGGGCTGAAGAGATGGTTCAGAGCCTAGGAGCCCTTGCTGAGTACTCATGAGGCGTGGAGTTCAGATCCCAGCACCCACGGAACAAATGGGGCATCTGCACAGACACCTGTAAGCCCAGCCATGGTGGAGGTGGAAACAGAAGGGTTCCTGGGGCCTTCCAGCCCAGCTGAGATACAAGTCCTAGGTACAAGGAGAGCCTCTGCCTCAAAGGAGTGGGTAAAGAAGGAAGATACCTGGTGCCACCTTCTGGCCTCCATTCATGTGCAAAGACACGCACATGTGCACACATACACACACACAAGCAAATAAAACTAAATCTTAAGAAGAAATTTGCCAGGTGTGGTGGCACATGCCTTTAATCCCGGCACTCAGGAGGCAGAGGCAGGCGGATCTCTGTGAGTTCGAGACCAGCTGGTCTACAAAGAGAGTTCCAGGACAGCCAGGGTTACACAGAGAAACCCTGTCTTGAAAAACCAAAAGAGGAGGAGGAGGAGGAGGAGGAGAGGAAGGAAAGGAAGGGAGGCAGGTGAAAAAAAAAAGAGAAATTGGAGCCTCCAGGAGTCTGCTGAGTCAATGGTGAGGTCTCAGAAAAGTGGGGTGTGAGGTCTCCCTTAGGGGAGGACAGGCATCTTTTTCTCTCTAGGGAAGTTACCAGATGTTCCTGGCCTCTAGGCCTCACTCCATGACATCCATACTGGTTTTTGCCAATGTGGACAGTTATTCTTAGCAGACTGCCCTGCCTCCCTGGCTCACCCCCATCTCACAGCTGATCCAGACATCTAACAGTGCAATCCCCACTGTGCGAGGGACAGCTTATACTCCCCAGTCCCCTTTGGGGTGAGGCTAGACCATTGCCCCCAGTCTGGACTGTTTTCCCAACACCATATTGCTGTGGAATGGCTTCTTCCCACTGTCGTATATGACAAATAAGAGTACCCCTTCCCCCGGGAACCCTTATACAACAAGTTAAACGCTTCTCAGCCTCTTGATTCTGGTCAGGACAAAAATCAAGGTCCAGAAACAGAAATCACTACTGAGTTTCTCATTTTGGCCAAGAAACAAGACACCTGTCACTTTTGTAAGCCCAAACTCCAAAAATGGCATCCTAAATTTCTAGTTCGCCAAAGGAGGCCTCAGCTGGAAAAGCCTGAAGTTTGATGGAGGGGAGATGGGCTCCGGGGGCGGACAGGCTCCGGGGGCGAATGGGCTCCGGGGGCAGATGGGCTCCGGGGGTGGATGGCTGTGCACACCAGCAGGTGTGGGAGAGCAGCCCTGTGCGTTGTGAACACCCCGACATGACATGGAGAGTCACAGCCTTGAGGAAAGCTGGCTTCAGTCGCCCCAAAGAACCCTTTACAGCTGCAGCTGAGCATCAGACTACAAACTCTGGGGGCAGGTCCAACAGAAGACATATGCCGGGAAAGCGCAGGGATGGGGGGCAGGGGACAGGAAGTCAGGAGGACAGGATCCTCCTCCTATAGACCCGTCATGCTCTCCCTAAGGCCATGTCCTTCTCCAGGTCACCGCGGGCTATCAGGCCCTGGGAATCTAAAGCAGATCTGATCTCCCATCAGCCTGTGGGGTGCAGAGGTCCCCAGACTGTTGAGGGGAGAGGCCAGTGTCGTGGAGGAGGAAAAGGGAGGGGCAAGCTGTAATTCTAAACAGAGAGGCCACCAGGGCTCCACACCAAGCCCACCTTGCACCCCCAGCATGAGCGGTGGCCCTTCTACAAAGATGCGCCCCGTGTGTATGAGGGCTCTGCTCAGCCCTCGGGATGCAGCTGGGGTCCTCCTGCTTCTCCAGGCCATGCTAAGGCCCCATCTCATCCCCAGGTCCCCTGCGGTCAGGGTTGGTGTAAACACCTCTTCCCAATGAGCTGTTCCCCAGGCTCTCACTCTCTATTCAACTTATTTTTGTAAGATGTCATTTATTTTAAATTGGGGGGGTGGTTTACACATGTGAGTGCAGGTTCCTGAGGCGGCCAGAAGAGGACGTCAGATCCCCTAGAGCAGGAGTTACAGGCAGTTGTGACCTGCCTGACATGGGTGTCAGGCACTGAACTCCGATCCTCTGCAAGAGTGGTGCGCCATCCCCGGACCCCTTACCCAACTCTGAAGGATGCCTGGCCCCCATGAAAGGAATAGTATACGTCACTAAGAGTCAGAACCTGTGTGGACAAGATCTGTATTCACACCCAAAAGAGGGGGAGGAAGTGAGGCACCTTCCTGCCCTGGTCCTGAATCTTCCCTGGAAACCCCCAGAATCTGTCAGATGCATTTGCTTGCCCAGCACAGACCCTCCCTGGTGCCCACACTCTACTCCTATGAGGTTTTATGGGACAAACAGGATCTCTCTCACTGTGCAGTGTGCTCTGCCCAAAGGCAGCTGTGTTAGAACCTGGAGGGGTCCAGAAGCTTCTCCCAGCATGGGAGATAGGAATCGGGCAAGGGAGCCAGGAGCCCACAGCATCACAGGCCACCAGGAAAGGCTGAGGGTACAGGGGGTGTCCAGGGGACACAGGGCAGGATCTTCCACAGAAGGCCAGTCACCGACTACAGGAAGCCCAGGCAGGCTGGGAATGTGACTCAGCTGGAAGAGGGCTTTCA